TATAATCATGTTGATAAAGATGATCATTATGCATTGCATAGTAACAAGACTAATCAATTTAATTTAATAAAAAATAAAAAATATAAAAAAAATTTATATTTATTTAAAAAAATACAAAAATTTTATTTTTATTGTATAAATCATTTATTGAAATTAAATTATCATAGAATCATAGAAACAAATGAATCCATGTAAGTGTTGGTTTTTGTTGTTGTTGTTGTGTTTATCTTTATCTCTATGATACTTAGATGATATGGTTTGTATATATATATATATATCCTAGAACAATCAAGTAAAGAATGTAGTTGTTAGGATACTTTAATTCATTCAAGTTGAAACATTCTATACGAAAGAAGTACTGTTGAATGCCCAGCTTAATTGTATAGAGATTAGGCATTCATGTACAGGACAGAATACTCTAGGTTCGATTGTGATTGTAGACTACTATGGAATTCATTTATGAGTTTATACAGTCATTTAATACTTTTAGGATTCCGATGGTAATCTAACTTAGAACGATTCATAATTTCAAGGAAACTACAAAACATGATATCATTGTATAGTGGATTAATCTCGTTGTAGATATATCTCTGTGATAATAGTAGATAATCCCTATGTTAAGAATCTTTTAAGATTGTATGTATTGATCTATCAAAATCATAAATAGCAGATTAAACTTTTACTCATGGGGATCGTGGATTTGCACTGCTGATGAGTCCCACAATAGGACGAAACGACCATCCAATGCATCCAGGTTTCTAACGGGGGTCTAACATCAAACAATTCATAATCTTAATCAAAAAAACTAAATACTCTTCACAACCCCTGAACTAATTTTTTTCCGAATTATCATTTCATTATCCATACTATTCAATTTATTTAATTATACCCCTTTTGTTATGATGGGTTTTATTCGAAATCGGATACTGATACACAACGTGCTACGCATTCAAACCCCAGTCTTTTGAAAATCAATTCATTTTTAACCAATAATATACATTTGTCCTTTAGGTCACCTCTGATTCCTATCGATTGACCTTTTCATTTGGCTACTTCTGTCTGGCTTACCATAACACTTTTATTAAGAAAGGGTATTATGAAGACTATTTAGTTTGAAATTTACATGATGCATTTCTATTATCAGAAGGGGTTTGTGGGGATTTTTAGAAATTTTCACAGATTGAAATCATGAGTCAATTGAAGCTAGACCACCATTGAAAACCTGGAAACACTGGACGGCCGTTTCGTCCTAGTATGGGACTCCTCAGCAGTGCTATTAGTTATAAAAAACATTAAAACCTGGGAAACATTAGATGTCCTTTTTCGTCTGAATATGGTACTGTCTAACAGTATCCAGGATTGTTGTAGCTTATGAGAACAGTTTAACTATTAGACCAATAAGTTGACCTCTAATATTTTACATTTCTAATTTCAATCTGTAACCGATATTATCAGTTCATTAGAGTTCAACCTTGTTAGATATGAGGCAAATATCACAAATGGTCTTGAATAGTGTTTACATAATATCTTGAGTGGACTAGTGTTAGAAATGCCAATGATACAATGTTTATTCAGATGTTCTTTATGTTTGTTTTTTTCTCTTGACTATCAACAATGTTGTTTTGATATTTCTTCATAGTACATTCTATCTGCTTCCACTTTCTCGCTATGGCTAAAATAAATCCTGCCACTTTAAGTTAATACAATTTATTGAATCATATTTAACCATTAATAAATGATACCGTACCTTTGTAGTTTTTAAAGAGAATATGGGATATATCATATGAATGGTTAAACTGTCAACAACAATTTGCATCAAAATGATATCTCTGAGATTACTTATAATCAACAAAGTACAAAGCTTCGCTACATTTAAGTGATTGACAATAGAGTGATCATCATAGAGAGATCATCAACCGATTGATTTTAGATCACCATTGAAAACCTGGAAGCATTGGACGGTCATTTCGCTCTATTGTAGAACTCCTCCACGATCTCGCTCGCTGGATTTAAACTTAGCGCCCTCAGTTCCCCGCGCGAGCGCTTAGACTCTAGACCACTGAGCCGGCATCTAACGGTTTTAATGTCCAATCTCAACCAATCCACAAAATTTACGCGACCATCTTCCATTATACTGAAATAGATACCTGTCTCTACTCGACACGGATTAGCTCCATTGGTCACGGCTTCTCACTAGAAGTCTGAGAATTCCCTCATGAAGTTATTCATTAGCGAGTACATGGTAATCATCACTAGAGTGTTCGAATCCCGCGAGCTGGATCGTGGATCGAACTACCACTGAGGAGTCTCACAATAGGGTGTAACGGCCATCCAATGCTTCCAGGTTTTCAATGGTGGTCTAACATCAATCGGTTCATGATCGCAATTAAAAACCTATTAATCTCCACAACCCTATACTGAAATGATCATTATTTCAAATGAATTCAAATGAAAATTAAATAGTTCAGCGATAACATCTATGATCATTATATTAAGCAATATACTCAGTACTAAATACATAGATGGGGTATTGGTTCCTTTGCAGTTACAAAGACTATTTGAAAACAATTGCCAGTTATTTTGAATATTAAAGTAAACAATACTTTTTGGTGACACTCTTCAACTATCCAACATCGAATATTAAATCACTTAAAGAAGTTATTGTACTGAAACTTTTCTATACCCACTTTGATTTAAAGCTACCTCTTCTACATCACTAGACTGCACATTTCAATCAGTCAGTCAGCTACAACGTGGAACTAGGCACTTATACGCATCAGTTCAAAATAAATTTTAATCTCACAGTTAAAGACGAGATAGAGAATGTATACACCTAAGCCATTGTGATCGATTCTCAGCCATGTTACACACAGTCTCCAACCGTAGGTTACGATAGTCGCACGGACCCTAACCAACTAGTGTGCATCTACCAATATGACTTAGACTAGAAGTTAGTGAATTCAACCACTGATGTCATGTTTTGATTTGGCCACCCCTAACTTCCTTCCAACCATTCTCAACACTAGTCATCATTGAGCGTCGTGGTAATCCGTGCTCAGGCATACACAATACGTGGCCCAACCATCTCAGTCGATGAAAATGTGCAATCTCATCAAGTGATTTACCATCATCCCTTAATACTTTGCGTCTTACCTCACTATTTCTTACCTAGTGATCCCAGCAGATGCGTGCAATATTTCTAACACTGCATATTTAAGGTCTAGCTTCCACGGACTTACACTTGGTAAATGAATCAATAATAATAATATTATTGTCTGTAATTAGATCAACCGAACTTGTTCAGTGTTTATGTCTGCACAATACAATATTGATCATGAATCTTTGATTGATTCGAATAAGAAATCAATCGAAATCGAAGGTGTTCTTTTTTTCTTCTTCAATCCTTTATGTATTTTCGCCTATATATAGATATATACTACACATAGTTTATGTGAACATTTTCAATATTTGAAAGATTAATCATATAAACGGTGTGAAATGCCAAATGGCTTAATTTAACCCAGTGTATATATGGAATTATTCATGTTCTATCATTGAATTAATTATTATAATAATCATTATTATTTAAACATATAAACATTGATACAACGAAGCACCAAATAGATATACGTCACACAAGTTACTTGATATGTGTGTGTGAGCTACGATACTGCTCCGGTGCTCAAACAGAAACAGGTGGTTTTCTCAGGAAGACCCATCCAGAGTCTTCGACGTAATGGTCTAATCCACAAGGCAAGGAAGCTACGTTAGGAGATACAGTCACATGGTAGCCAGTTACCAACTATTGGTTCATACGCCATTTGCTCATTCAGGATCCTGGAGACCATGTTTGAATCAGGGTTTTTCAACTCCTCTGTGTCCACCATATCGATATCAATCAGATAGAAATATACAAATTAAATAATATTAATTATTTTTCTTAGAGCAAATGAATCTTTGGTAACAATAGAATCAAGAATGTTCATTCAGTCTTATTTCTTGTTCGTCAGTTAGATGTATCTACATTTATGCTGATATTCATATTGGAAATCGAACCCAGAAATCTTTCACTTCAAAAGCCTTACGCGTTCTCCAATGAGTTGTTGAGTTCAAACGTTTACCATATTATTTAATAGATATGATATATTGATATCAGTATTAGTAAGGATTCAAAGTACCCCATTATTAGTATCAAAGATTGAGTTTTGATTAGTTTTCGTTGGTATAAATCCACCCTATGACAATTCCCTTGTTATAGACATTTTAATATGGCTATTTTAGAATAAATAGTTTGTGTATAATTTTGACTGAATAGAATGAGACTGCATCAACAAAAAGGTTAAGTCGAATAGATCTTGGCAACGGTAAACAATTATCTATATCATACATTGTTAATGTACAAAAGAAACTATTGTTTTTCAATATTACAATTTGTCTAAACAAGGAGTAAATTTATATACACATACATATTTTTAGAAGAGGTTTTTTGGAGATATTTGTTATTTCAATCGTTGAAATCATGAGTCAGTTAAAGCTAGACCACCATGGAAAACTTGAAAGCACTGGATGGCCGTTTCGTCCTAGGATGGGACTTTTCAGCAGTGCGCATTTGCCATCCCTTCCTTCGCAAGATTCGAACCCAGGATCTATCAGACAATTCTATACGGTGGCGTAATTTCGTGGATTGGTTGAAGTTAGACATTAACACCGTTGTGAGCTTGCCCAGTGGTCTAATGGTTAAGCGCTCACGCGCGAGACTGAAGGTCTTGTGTTCAATCTATTGAGCATGATTGTGGATACGCACTGCTGAGCAGTCCCACAATACGATGAGATGGCCGTTCAGTGCTTTCAGGTTTTCCATAGTGGTCTATCTTCAATTGACTTATGATTTCAATCAGTGAAATTTCTAAAATCTTCACAAAACCCCTTCTGATAAGTAAGATTAGTTAATGGTATAAACTGTAACCTTTTTTCTCTGTTTTTTAAATTATTTATTTCAGAACTATTCACAGAGAAGCGTCTTTATCTACAGCACCAATCAATATTAGATCAGCTTTACCGAATTTGAATTCTGGTTCCAGAGGTTATTATCATCAAACTAATCCATCACAATCAATACCATCGAATAATTATCCTGATAGTAGAAATGGAAATACAATAAGAAGTGGACGTTCAACAAATGAATTACCACAAATAGTTGATTCAATGAATGAAGTACAACAGCTTAGATCACAGTTGAATATGTTGTCGAAACTTGTAAGTGTATTGATCGTTTGATAAAAAAAAATAATTTCAGGAAGGTGTTTGTAAGACAAGTAATAAACTGTGTTTATGAATCAATGAATGAATGAAGAAGGTCAGAGCTATGTGAAGTGGTAGCACTAGTAGTCGCGATAGTGTGAATTCGAAAGGATTCTCAAGTTATGGTAAAGTATTTCTTATATTAGGACTTGAAAAGGAACCTGGACTAATTTTGTTCGTCTTGTCAGTCTAATATCTTGATCCCGGAGGTTAAAGGGACAATATTTGAGATCGGTAATACACCATACTTTTGTGAGTAGTAGTAGTAGTTGTTGTTGTACCAGCTAAGAACTTTTTAATTCTCAAGTACTAAAGGTATTCTGTCTTTAGAATAGATTCTCTGAACCAGTCGACATTTAATTAATCAGTTTCTTAAATAGTTAGATGACTTGTCTATTAGTGAATTCAGTATCTTATCGTCCTGTTCGTACTTCACATTGATTGCCAAGATTGTTAGTACTAAGTTACAGAGTGACTACAGTAGGATAATCAATTATGATATATTTTTTATGAATTGTCTAATCCAAAGGCGCTGAGTTCGAGTCCTAGAGTGAACATCAACTCTAAGATGCAGGTACATCCAGCTGGACAAAACACGCATCCTGGATTCCACTGCTAATCACCATCATCTCTGTTTAGAATGCTAGTGACTTAAGTCGATTTCCAGACTGTTTGTACAGGATGCACAGATGCCAATAAGAAACTGATCAATTACAATCTTAAATAGAAATGGGTAGATACAAGTAATAACAACACCAAGTGAATTCAATGGTTATATGTTAGGAAAAAAATATTACACATTGAAAGGTGTGAAGTTCTTTGATTCTATCACTAAAGAGGTTGAGGGACGAGAGAAAAGCTGAAAAGTTATAAATCGAGCTGCTGATGCCAATTCATTATTGTTTGTAAGTTGTTTGCATTACTTGTGTTATTCCTTCATTTTGCATAGATTGAATCAGATGGTTCTAATCCTGTACGTACTGCTTCAGTATTACGTCAAACAGCGGCAAAAAGTACAGTAAGTCATTGAGATTTAAATTTCATTTCAGTATAGATGTTTAAGTAGATTATTAGATTACATAATTTACATGACGAAATGATCTTTATTAAATAATTATTAAAAGCCTGGAAGTACTGAGCAGCAGTTTCGTCATAGTAGCATGTGTTCATGATCTTACTGTGGACAAAATCTATGATTTTTAGGGTTCACGATGAGGATTTCACTCCTAGACTGCGGACACAAGATAATCTCCTGGATGAATTGAGAAGAGCTATTACTCACGATTACTTAGTGATTATCGGAAGCCCGGAAAAGGCTGATAAATTTTCAGTTAATCAGTATATACCACAAATACTTCTAGAAAATTAGTGAATTATCGGTCCAGGATAGAATTGGATGGAGAATGCTAGTGAGCGGCCTATGCCCCTTCATGAGAGTTGACAGGTGTAAGTAAGTAAGCAATGTATCAAAATCTGGTTGTATGGTAGCATACTCTGTCATCTAATTAAACATGTCTCCAGATGTTTGGAAATTGCAGAGATCACCTAACAACGTATAACTCAGCTAGTTTTCTGTACGTAAATGAATTTTAAAGTTTCTGTTTTCATCTCGTACCTTCTATCTACGGTTCAGTTGTAGGAGTTGTCTGAAGATAAAGGATTAACTAGGAATTCAGTATCATTTGACGTTATACCAAATATGCATCTAGTAGCCAGTCACATACATTTCTCCAACATTAGATCTTTTGAGTTCAGAAATACTTATGAAATGAAGTGATGGAAACGATTTTCAGCTCAGTTAAATCGTTAAGATGATTTTGATTTCAGAACTGTGATTGTCATTTTGAACAATAGTATCAATGTTGGTTTCATGTATAAGTGAGATTCTTGTTTATTCCATAAGCCTTAAATTGTTTATTCAATTGACCTTGTTTATGGCGGATTGTCTTCGTAGATTTAATTGTCTTTGATCGATTCATGAATTCAATGAAATTCATTCATTTTCTTCATCTATTCTTGTATTCAAGTTATCTTAGTCGGTTGACCATTGACCTTTTGGCTTAAATTAATCTTTCGTTAAACTATAAAAATTCTATAATCTCTACAAACCCCAATATACTAGTAATAATAATCATCTGCTCTAAAGTGATTAATCTAAAGGTGCAATCCCAGAAGTTCTAGTTAAAGGCCGTAACTATTGAAGTATAAATGTTATTCACTGCAAGTAACAGAAGACGACTACACAATATAGTGAATTGACTGAAGTTAGACATGTTCACAATTGGATCTTCTCAGCATATATGCGCGATTTTAGAGATCGTGAGTTCGATTCTCTGTAGTGGTGGTGGTGGTGGTGTTATGGGTCCTCACTACTGAGGAGTACTATGCTAGCACGAAACAGTTATTCAGTCCATCCTGGTAATCTAGTGTAGATCAGTTCATGATTTAACTATGAAAATGTTTTAAATGTTATATAAGATATGACGCAGTTAGTTGTGTAATATACAATTGTCATTACATCTCAGTCTTACAGGAGGTCGATCACGGCTCGGATAGCTCAGTGGTAACGTCTCTGACTGTGAATCTAGGTGACACGATGTCGAATCTGTCAGGGAGCAACAGTTCCTTCAAGATTACAGGCACACCTTGCTGACGAGTGCCAAGTAGCACGAAACCCGAGTCCAGGGTTTCCTGTTGACTACCTCCAACCACCATTTAATCTGAATATATAGTGCACGTAATATTGAGTCACCTAGACTGGTGGCCAAAGTGCAACATGGTCGATAGCACTCGATCTGCATTAAGAAGGACTTGACACACATCACATTGATCACCACCGAGTGATCAATCAATTGTTATAATAAAATAAAGTAAATTAGTCACGTTTCAGCTATATTCAAATCTTCTCTTCTTAATTTATTTCTCATTTCTTATCTTTGCTTTTTAATAGCAAACTGAATTTGGTTATTTATTGGATAGGTAAGTATTGTTTACTCTTAAATTACAACGTTATTTTATAAACAATGATGGATAGTGGCTTGCAGTGGAATCTAGGACGCGCGTTTCTTCCTATTTGGAACTCGTCGGTTGGATGTACCTTCATCTCAGAGTTGATGTTCACTCTGGAATTCCCATCCACCTTACTAGTTTCCTGTCAACTGAAGACGATCTTGTGAAGATTAGCTTCATTTATCAGTTGTATTCGTCATGAATTAATGAATCCGTAAATTAGAACAATCATCATAATGATTATTCAACTAATTTATAACATTAGCTAACTATTGATAGAATTCAAGATGTTTCTGATGTTGTAATAAGACACTATGACTATTGAATTCCAAACACTTGGTATTGTTTGCTTGTTTCTTCTTATTGTTATTTAGGACTGTAATTTATCAGTCTCTTATTGGCATGTGTGCATCCTGTACGGATTGCCTCGATATTGCCTTAAGTTACAAACATTCTAAACAGAGATAGATGGTGATTAGCAGTGGAATCCAGGATGCGTGTTTCGTTCTATTTCTGACTCGTCAGCTGGATGTACCTGCATCCGAGATGATGTTCACTCCGGAACTCGAACATCAATAGGAAGACTTAGACAATCAGTACAAAAATGAATTGAAACTTCATCCCATTGCAAAATCTAGTGGCTATCAATACTAGAATTCAGTGCTGTTCGCTTTAAACACCATCGTGTGCGATACTGGGTTCAAGTCCCAGAGTAAACATGAACTCTGAGATGCCGCTATCCATCTTTGCTTATGACTTCCAAACGGTTATGTACATACTGTAATTTCTTAACTACGTTGTTCTGAGGTAAGACATTGCATAGGTTTTGATTTATGAATGAATTGAATGCAACAGACAATTTATCTACCTTCCATCTTAGATGATGTTTGAAGGTAGTCAACAGGAAACCCTGGACTCGGGTTTCGTGCTACTTGGCACTCGTCAGCATGGTTTACCTGTAATCTTGAGGGAACTGGTGCTCCCTGGCGAATTCGATCCCGTGTCACTCAGATTCACAGTCGGAGTTTCTTGTTGACTACCTCCAATCACCAACTAATCTCAATATAGTGTAAGCAATGTCGAGTCACCTAGACTCGTGGCCACATTGCAACATGGTCGATAGCATTCAATTTGCACTAAATGAGGACTTGACACACATCACATTGATCACCACCCAGTGATCAGTCAATTGTGACCTTCCATCTTCAACTTCTGGTTAACCTTTGAGTTAGATAGAGTTCCATGGTTAATAAGTATTAAGGTGTTAATTGTTGTTAATTTATTGAAATGTCAAATAGTAATTAGATCATTACTGATCATTCAGGCAATATAACTGAACTCATCCAAACACAGAGAGCAGGATAGAGAGAGTCAGAGAGAGATATATAAGGATAATTTAAATTAATACAAAGACATATTACATCATCATATCGTTGTTTTCTTTTTATTTGTATATTTTAGACAAGCGAAAAAATCAAATGCTGAAATCTCAGAATTACGTGGTATCATCAAGATTAAAGAAGAAGCTATTCATCTGTTAGAAGTAAGTAGTTCGTATAAATCAATTGATCACTGAGTAGTACTGGTGATTGTGATGTTTGTTTAGTGTTTTTAGTGATGAATGAATGATGTCAATCAATTTGTAAATAGGTTAAGTGTAATCGACGAGATACTTCACTGGAACTAAGTTTCGTACTATTTAGTAGGCATCAGTAAGATATAAATATAAGTCCTGTATCAGATAAGTCTAAGCTCAAATAGCTCAATTGTCTTAGAATATGAAACATAGTAATGCTTACTCAGAGTCCACAGAAAACACCGAATTATTTGTGATTGATGGTACAACATGGTGACGAGTGGTAATAAGCCAAAAACCTTGTGTATGTAGAGCATTTTCTTCTTCATGACCAGAGTATGAAAGCAGTTCCCCTGAAGTTAGTCTTTGTTGTTCAACCTGCATCTCATGTGTCTCACTGATTCCAAGAACGTCCAGGTTGTACGAGCATTCCATATACCTAAATTAATGGTTGCTCTGGTTGTCAGAAAGGGCACCAGCCTCAGCCGTCTAGTGTTTCCAGGTTTTCCATGATGGTCTAACTTCAATGGACTTATGATCTGAACCAATGAAATTATGATTTACTTAATGTTATGAACTAAAAAACATTGATCATAGTTAACCATTTGATATGAATTTTAGATTGTTATTACTGGGCAAGAAAGCTATTTGATGGTGTTAACAGATTGCTTGAAAATATTCATAATACTTTATATCTCAGTATTTGTTTAAACTATGATATACACTTGACTGATAATAATAAGTAGTCCTGAGAGATTGAAATAAGGAAAAATACAGTTATCCGGTCGAATGGATACAAAACTTCCTTACAACTTACTGACGCCTGCTACCCCATTGTAGAGTATAGGACGCGGAGCAGGAATCATCAACCAACTCTGTCCGGAGCTTTTCTTTTCAGTTGTTTTGATGTCTGCTTCCAACTTTCAATCCCATGTATACTTTGGTCTGCCTGTTTTTCTTTTACCCTTAAGATTTTAGATTAGGGTTTGCCTCGTGGTGAAGTTGGATGATTTCTATGATGTGTGTTCTATCTACCTTTAGCGTCTTTTTCTATATTCCCTCTCCAGTTGGAAGCTTGTTTGTTATTTCATTTGTAAATTCAACTTTGATAGAAGGATTTTAAGCTTAGTTCTGATATCATACATCTAATACTTTATCAAGGAAATGTTTACTGAGACCTCATTCTGTCCACATTATTTTAGTTTGTAGTGTCGGTTATTATGTTAAGCCCATATACCTTATTCTCGCTTTCGGACAGACCATTCTATTCATTCTACTTGAGTCACATTCTGACCTTGTTAATTATTCGCCTATCAATCTTGATTGTTTACATATGAGCGCGTTGGTGTGTGTACATTTCTTATCCCATTACTCATCACATATTTGTAACGTACTTTTGTGTAACTATAAATATTGATTAACGTTTGGTTAAATGGGAGTTGGCTTACACACCATCTCCACTGCTCGTTGTTTCTCTTCTCTCTATTCCATTCGCTTCATATACAAAATATATGTACTCAAAAGTTCATTCTCGTTATTCGACTTATCTGAATCCGTTATTGACTAATGTGATTAAAGTCGATGATTATATACGAGAATAGGCGACATATATATTTCAACAACAATCGTCATTACGATCGTCAGATCTTGGGCCACTAAAGTGGAGAGCGCTTTCGACAACATCATTCGATGTAAGTGACGGTTAAATAACGGGCCTCCACAAGTTATTCATGTATTTACTAGTGGACTAGCTTTGAGAGAAGCTTTTCACAGCGTTAGTAAGAAACCATAATTGTTTGAGTTCAAATGTATCAAGCAAGAACAAGGTGTCTCCCGACAACAAAAGATGATTGCATGTTATCATCAATTCATTGAAATTGAACATGTTAATCACTGGATACCATTTCCATAATTTGAAGGTTAAGAATCCATCTGAGAGAATGAAACTCTACTGTATTCTTCGGTTGACATTAAGTGACCGGCCAATATGATTCCCTACCACCCCTTTTAAAAAAATTGTGGGGTGTGAATGAAAAATTTAGGTATCGTTGATTGGTGGACTTGTTTTGCAAGTGTGTGCTTAAGTGATAATGAACAATCATGTTGTTACCTTTAGTAATTTTGTGATTGGTCGTAAACTGTTCATCTTTGTAATCTGATTAGTTGAAATTGAAATCGCATCTGGAGCTGTGATTGAATGTCAGAATTTTCATTTTTTTACATTTGAAATTTAATGATAATGAATGATTGTTTTTATGTAATCTTAATGTTGAAAAAAATTTAGACTTTTGAAGAAAAAGACACCAACTGAATTGCATTACCGTGCAATCCTACTGTTAGTGAATGTGTATTGGGATCAATGTTTGTTTTCCGATCAACTATACCTTGAATTGAAGTCGTTAGTTATCGGAACACGAATAATTATATGTATCTCAGTAAAAGAAAGTTTTTGGGAAAAAGCATCTGTAAACCGGTTTGAATATTTGATCATAGTGATTACTGAATGAGGTCGGTATTCAAATGTTTAATAGCAAATTAATAAACAAATTATTACCAAAGTGTGTGCATAGGTTTTTTTTTTTGTAACACATGGTGTGTTAATGGGAAAAGAGAAATCAACATATCAATAAATCATCATGATAACTTACTGGTTGCAAAATATGTATAATTCAGGTGAATAAGGTCAACTGTATCAATGACCATTTACAATGTTATTATTATCCATTTTCCTTATGATCGTTATTATTATTATGTCAATTGACAAGATTCAATTCTCATACTATGCATTTCATGGACACAATTTCCCTATAATGCTTAGTCAGAAGGTATGAAACATTGCTTCACATCTACAGAAAACCCAACCAACCGCATTACCGGTTTCACACGGAGGCTGCGCAAGATTACAGATGTCGCAGAGTCGATTCTCGTCATCCTCTTCTTCATTTTCGATGTCCCGTTTAGTTAACTCTTCGGAGTTAATAGAAATTACTTCCTCCTCATCGTTACTGAGCGTTTCATCCAAATCAACAGTTCCTCGTTGTATAAACGGCACTCCTAGACAGTTCTCATCGTCCAATTCGTATTCGCAAAGCCCACCCAAGGATGTTATGTGAGCTTTCAATTTCCCGTAATCACCTATAGTGTATATTATAAATTGGCAAATTCCGTACCAGGAAGGTTCGCGTGTGAGAACACTTTGTACCGCATATTGCAGACATCTTGAGCGGTCAGACATTTCCCATAAGATTGGTAAGCAAAATTCTTTATGTGGGATGCAGCGGTACCGGAAATCAGCAGCGGTCTCACAGTTTCAAACTCCCCATCCGTTAACCTGCGCACCCATGAATTACCCTGGTACCTCAGGGAATTGCACTCGTGATTGTGATGTACATTCCCACGTACAACAGTCCAATAGCCGTCTATAATCTTACAAAACATAAATGCTGGACATTGGGTGTTCATAGAAGCCCTTCGTTAAAAAAATTATAAAACAATTTACCAAATTACCTCCTCCGTCTAATACGTTGTGACGAACCGCTAGATCTTATACGCCCATTTCGCCAACACAAATTTAATGTAGGATTTTTGATCTCTGCCAATATGCGATTCTCTCACTACATAATGACTGTAAGTCGATCTTTCCAAATTTGTGATAGTGGTCTTTAACGCTTCAACCGATGGAAACGCAACCAGAAACAAGGTAGTCAAAAAGACTTCCTCCATTTCCGTTACGTGAGAAACACCAGCGCTCGTACTCGGCACGTTACTCTGCTCCATAATGACAATTGAGATTGTGCTTCGTCGACAAGTACTGATAATTTATAACAATTTTCAAGACATAACTAACCAATTAAATCTAATTTTTGAAACTAGCCATTTCATTGGACGAAACACGGGATGAAAAATATTGTAATTTGGGGGTGGAAATTTTTTTTTTTTATGGGGTGGGATTTTTGTTTTAAAAAATGGCCGGTCGGACAATATTATTCGTATTGGTTTATCTGTACTTGATACAACATACTTAATAAATTAGTAAGTATTAGTAATCTCTGGTTATTGATACTCAGAACTGGTAATGACTAGTCTTTATGATACCATATTTACTTCTTGAACAGACTTGACTTTAGTTAAGTCAACTTCAGGTAAATTGAAGGTGATGATGAATTCCAGGTAGGACGAAACATACATTCTAGATTCCACCACTATCTATATATCATCCAATATGTTTGTTTACTGTTGTTGTAAGCAGTCAAAGCATCATCCTAATTTCTCTTCTATTCTATTTGTCTTGTAAAATTTTCTTTATTTCAAGGAGGAGAATTCACGTTTAAGTGATTCATTGAAAACATTTTTATACAATATGAATAAACCAGGAAATTTAGATAAAACTACCATGTCCACCAATAATTATTCCATTAAATCTCATGAATATCAAGATTTATTGGACAATAATAATAAACAAAGACTTTCAAATAATCCTATGAATACGTCACGTCCTCATCCTCCTCATCATCAAGGACAACAACAACAAGTTGAACATCAACATGATTATACGCCTCAACATCAGCATCATTCACCTCAATCTCGTCAACGTGATCATCACCATAGTAACTATAATCCATCAAAACATACATTCAATCAACCATACAATCATTTAAATTCTTCAAATACTTCTACCCCAATTAATACACCAATGATAATATCACCATCACATTTATCAATGATCAAACCAGATAACTATGATCGAACAATATCACCTCGTTCAATGAGTCCATATAAATTAGATCATTCTAAAAATCAATTAATATCACCATCATCATTATCATTATCACCAACAAATTCAGATAGAATAAAAAATATTAAACGTCAATTATCACCAACTGGTAAACGTTTCCCATATTATCAACCATATATTCATTCATTAATGCATTCAAATGAATTAAATAAAGTTGATAAACATAAATGTTTTAATGAATCCGTAAGTTTATTCATTGTATTATCAATGACTTGATTTCATTTTATTGATTAGAATAAGTACTGAATTTCATGATGGTATGTATCTATGATCTTGATCGGGTAGTGAGTTTTTAATACCTTCAAATCTCTTCGAAGATAACTTGTAGGGCTCTTGAATTTTTGTCGTTATTTAGATCAAATGTTGTTGTCGAATGAGCTCTCCACTTTATTGGCCCGTGGATCTGACTCTAATTAAATCGTATGAATGTTTGTTATCACCTATTCTCGTATATAATCATCGACTTTATTCGCGTTAGTCAATAACGGATTCAGATAAGTCGAATAACTAGAATGGACTTTTGAATACATATATTTTGTATATAAGGTGAATGGAATAGAGAGAAGAGAAAGGACACAGAGTTTAGATGGCTGGTAAGCCAGAATAAGGGATATGGGCTTAACAATAATAACCGACACTGCAAACTTAAACAATAGACTGCTAGTTTGAAATCTCTGCTGAGCCTATGAATATGCGCCTCTGAAGAGCATCATTCAATTCACACACATACGCAATTATAAATATATATGCTGCCAGAGATTTTCAGAATAGCCAGACTGTATCTAGATTCATTACAATACGACTATTACAGCCCAATCCTGTAGCGCAGAATCTTAATAGGTCAGAAGAATCTCATATTATAATACAATGTATGTTTAGTATTCTCTGATCTTCACAGATTGTCTAACTTAGATCAATCCATTATGTAAACCATGGAATTTACTCGTTCAATTAACTGTCACTTATTTTTCCACGAACTGTTTTTTTGATTAGAACAAGTTAAATTGAATTCATTCAAGCTGAAGTAAGAGGTGTCGTTTATATTTTCAAATGATACATAATCAATAATGATCAGTGATATAATAAATCAATACTGTATAATGAATAATGTTTTAAGAACAAAGAAAGACGCAACCCTTCTTTGTATTTTTTCATTGATGTTGAGGATCAAAATTATGTTGCGTTGTGTAATATTCAATTCTAATATTCTTATATTATTATTATTATTATTATTATTTTATTACTTTAACACATAGACATTGGTACAAAGAGGCACCAAATACATATACGCCACACAAATCTCATTCGATATGTGTGAGGGCTGTGATACTGTCCGGGTACCCAGATCGAAGCAAGTGGTTTTCTTAGGGGGCCACTCCCCGAGCCTTCGACCTGAAGGTCTGATCCACAGGGCAGTGGAGCATCGTAAGGAGATGCACTCACATGGTAGCCGGTGACCAACGATTGGTTCATAAATCATTTGTTCCTTCAGGATACTGGAGCTCATGTGCACCATTGATTTGGTTTGGAATCCGGTTAAAGAGCCGGATATTCGCTTTTCCTCCTCTCATTTCCGTAAACAACACCCCCGCCACGAGAAGGCAGTGAGTAGAACTTCCCTGGCAGAGGCTTTATACGCATGGCCAATGTGAGAGTATTTCGAGAGGGAGAGCGGACTCTCCCCACTCTCGGCCGTACCAGGGCATTTGGGGGCTTTCTTATATAAGCTTCCTTTACATGAAAATATCTGGTTACATGAGTGAGAAGACCAACATAAAAATGGAGAAATAGGTTCGCATTCACATTAATGTATATGTGTATATTTCTTTGTCGTTTGGAAATTTAAGCTACATTTTTTCTATCAGTGGCATTGTAGTGAACAAGAACACGGGTGGGGACAATCGATTGTATTTGCCACAAAAATTACAGACTATCTCAATATAATGTGAATACCATAAAGTCAATCGTCAATTTGCAAAATATCATTCCATCATATCAAACTGTACTGTTCCCGTTGCAAACACTAATCCATTGTCTCCCATTCCATTGTACATGCGTTTTCTTACAATTGCATTGTGTTCTTGCTCTTCCTTTCTTGATCTTCGCCATCTTCTGCTGCCGGACATTACGTTCTTTTAACGCACGTTATATACTACTTATATCAATATAAGTAGGTCACACCACAGCATAAGTATCGTTCCTTAGAAAGGAAGACCATATCTTGGTCAATCATATGAGCGTAACATTTAACTAATCTCTAATTGCTTAACTATATCAAAATGATCAGTCTTTTTTGGAATATGATCATCCTGGAAAAATTACCTTGATAAAGTTAGGTAGTAACCATCAATGATAGACAGGACATACGTTTTGTCCTATTTGGTATTCTTCAGTCTAACGTATGTAAATTGTATTTTGATTATCAGTATAGGGTTGTGGAGATTATTAAGTTTTTGATTGAGATCATGAACCGATTGATGTTAGACCACCATTGAAAACCTAAAGGCATTGGATAGCTGTTTCATCCTAGTATAGGACTCATCAAGCAGTCCACATCCACAACCCTACTCGCGGGATTCGAATCCAGGGCCTTCTGTCTCGCGTGCGAGTGCTTAACCTCTAGACCACTGAGCCGGCATCTAAACGGTGTTGATGTCAACTAATCCACGGAATTTGCGCGACCATCTTCCATTATACTAAGGCAGATACCTGCCTTTACTCGACACAGATTAGCTCCACTGGTTACAGCTTCTCACTAGAAGTCGTGAATACGCACTGCTGAGGAGTCCTACGATAGGGTGAAACGGCCATACAGTGCTTCCAGATTTTCCATGGTGGCCTAGCTTGAACAGACTCGTGATCTTAACCATAGAAATTACTATAATATTCACAAAACCCATCTGATATTAATCATATATGGCGATTTGGGTTAGCACATATATGTATGCTTATTCAAAGATTCAATGATTAAGTGAGCATAGTAACAAAATAATAGAAATAAAATGTAGTATTCTTATTGAAAACTAAAAATAATGACTGTCGAAAGAATGTCATAAGTCAATCAGTCAACTACAATGTCGAACCAAGCAGACATAAATGCATCGGTCCAAGTTGCCATACCTCATTAACACGAACAAGATGAACACAAAATTCATAGAAGTAGTTACTTCAATTGTAGTAATATATAAAAGGAAGGTTCCATATAAGGATATAGTACAGGAAGAAAGAATTAGTTAGTAGAAAGAAAGATATGAAGTGATTTTAATCTCATAGTTTAAGAAAAGACAGAGAGTGTATACACCTACGCCATTGTGATCAATTCTGGGCCATGTCACTAAGAGAGACGTAACGGCTGTCCAGTGCTACCAGGTTCTCCATGGTGGTCGAGCGTCAATTGACTCATGATCTCAACTATTGAAAATAATGATAATGATAATAATTCATGGTTATTCTATAATAAGTCTTCTTCTTGAACCCATATTACTAACTTACTAGCTTCTCCCTATAACTTCAGATTACTTAACGCTTAAAGTGGAACGGTAGAAAACAAAGGTGTAAGATATAGGTAAATGTTTAACTAAAAGCTTAGTTCATCTACAATAACACAAAATTATGTTCTATGTGTGGTATGACTTGAAACTTGGGTCGATTTTTACCCCGTGCCAATTGTTGCGTCGTTGACTGAAAAGGTTAGAGAGCAGTGTATTATAGATCGAATCAGTGACACGGAAAACACGTAGTGAACGACCTGGTGTCCTGATTGCTCCCGCTTCCCTGTCTAGCCCAGCCAGTTGCGTCCAGAACACAAGTCACAACCTCTGAGATATGAATCGTTATATTTCAGACATACTCTGTTTATATACCAACCAAACAGACCACATCGTACCATAAATATAGAAAACAACATCTGTACAATATTTAACAAGTGAAATAAATAATGGCCAATAGAGAGTGTACATTTAAGTTCCAAGGACATCATTAGACTTAACATGATAATGATTGGCACATTATTCCTCTGCATCCCTAACAATGTGTATTTGGTAATCATTTTGGAATTTCAAAATATAGTCAATAATCGTTCAGAATTTGACATATAATCTATCACTATTAAAAAAGTCTTCAAGGTATAAGCATATCAAGTGAAACATTGACAGCTTATTTTATAATATTGTAAAGATCTTATTGTTATGACTTGATGTCCGGCTTTTTTTATCAAGGGATTTATCCACCAATCAAAATACGACTTTTACAATCGTAGCACTGTGCCAAACCAGTGACGTTCGACCGATATGGACAGCCTAGCGTCCTTATTTGGTCCTATGTCCGCCTAACTCATCCACCTGAGTTCAGAACACCAAATACCAGCTTCCAATATGCCAATCGAATCATTTATTTCAGACATCATACTTGGTTTATATATCAATCAAACAGACCGCAACGCACCATAAAATAGGAAATAACATTTGTAAACAATAAAGCCAAAAAGTGGCTGTGAATGAGGGAGGCAGTAGTTAATAAACTGAATATAACTTAAGAACCGTAAATCGTACAATAATAAATTATAGGTCAAAATGAAGCTTATAATAAGAGGAATACAAATATACATAATCTAATTAATGAATAGTTATACTATAAGAATTGATTGATAATATTAGTTCATTAAAAAGTCTCAGAAGTTACTCGTCATGTATCCTTCAGTAGGATGTAACACATATAATGTAAATAACATAGAATATCCAAATTCCGTATTCATGCTTCATTCAATTACAATTACAGTTCATTCATTCTAATGATTATAAACTGTTAATATTTAAAATTAACAGTATTTGGTCCAAATCACAGAGTATACATCATCTATGAAATGAAGTTATATCCAACTGACGAGTCTGAACTAAGACGAAACACACATTCTTGATCTTTATTTATAATGAATCCTTTTAAATTATATTTTATGTTCTTTTTTGTTTTAGAAAACTTTATCACATGGTTTAACAACAGCACAAGCTCAATTAATCAAAAGTCCAACTCAACGATTATTAATGCAAGTAAGTTGAAGCAAACAACAACAACAACAACAACAAGGAGGGTATAGATAGTTGACATTAGTAAGATAACGATTAAAACTTAGATAGAATTGAATAATCATTTTGTTCTCAAATGTAACTCTTTAGGTAGTGATTAGTTATAACTGAACTAATGATTGAACAATGAAATTCAAATAAAAAGTCATAATCACTAAGATCTTAATCATGTTAGATATGAGATAAATATCATTAAGGGAAATAGATGATGATGGAGAATGTTGGTGAGTGGCCTATACTCCTTCATGAGGAGTAACCGGCGTAAGTAAGTAAATAAGTATATCAATGAATTATAGATCAATCAACTGAATATTTAATGATAACCACGAGATTTGTACATCCTGTGAAGATAAATGAAATAAAAGAAACAAATTTTAATCAACCTTAAATTCTATCATTTATTTACTTAACAAGACAACTATTTCGTTGTAGTTGAGAATTTGATCTGTATGGGTCGATTTCCTATACACTTGAGTTTCCAGTTTTCTTGTGTCGGTTCTAGTGATTAATGTATCCAAGAATGATAGTTTGTTGTTTGACTCCAGTTCCATTGTGAACTTGATGTCATCGACGATGTTACTGACCAGCTTGTAAGTGTTTTCCAGCTCATTCTTTTTAATGATGACGAATGTGTCGTCTACATAGCGAATCCATATTTTTGGCTTGATCACTGGTAATATCGTGGCTTCTAGTCTTTGCAGCATTGCTTCTGCAATCAGTCCTAATATTGGTGATCCCATTGGTATCCCTTTCGTTTGTTCGTAGATTTTGTTGTTGAATTGGAAATATGTTGTTAAGCATAAATCGATGAGTTCTAGTAGACTTTGAATTTGAAGCTTCGTGTACTTAATGAGATATGTGTCGTTGGTGGGGAGCTGGGATATGGTTTCTTTTGCTAACCTTGATTCAATTGAGGTGAATAACGCTGTTACATCGAAGTATACCAACAAGCCATACAACTATTTCGTCCTATGGTTAAGGTTCTTTAGCTATGTACGTATACATATTCACAAAGAACCAGCTTCAGAATATTCTTATGCAGTTGGCGATCTTTTAAGCTTTATACTGATGAATTAACATCCAAAGTACGGCATTCCTAACTTCATTCAATTTTGAATATTGTAAGACTAATATTGATTTTCATTATCAATATTTGTCTTACATAACTGACATGCTAGAGTTTCGTGACAGAAATCTTATCATGATTCTTGTTGAAGTTAGGCATACTGATCGTTGTCATGTTCAACAATAGTACAAAAGAGATGTCCAATGCTCCCTAATATTTTATTGGTTATCTGGGTTAAGTGAGTTGGGATGTGATATAAACTATAAATATCTGATAATCTTCAAAGACCCACTCATTCAATTGATTATGAATTTGCTTAATTTTGCTGAACGATGTAATTAGTCCTACAAGTATAATTGAATTGATAAATGAATTTAGATGTGATGAGTTCAGATAGGATGTTTTTATTTCTGAATATGGAGGATCCACCTAGGGCAGAAAATACAGGTGTTTATTAACAATTGTCTACGCAAAATACTTCAGATCCATTGGCCGGACACTATTAGCAACAACGTACTGTGGGAGAGAACAAACCAGATCCCAGCGGAGGAAGAGATCAGGAAGAAGCGCTGGAAGTGGATAGGACACACATTGAGGAAAGCACCCAACTGCGTCACAAGACAAGCCCTCACATGGAATCCTCAAGGCCAAAGGAAAAGAGGAAGACCAAAGAACACATTACGCCGAGAAATGGAGATAGACATGATATAAATGAACAAGAATTGGATGGAACTAGAAAAGAAGGCCCAGGATAGAGTGGGTTGGAGAATGCTGATCAGCGGCCTATGCTCCATTGGGAGTAACAGGCGTAAGTAAGTAAGTAAGTAAGTAAGTAAGTAAGTACCTAGGGCAGTTGGAAAACCCTGATTCCAAACCAGTTGTGCACATAGGCTTCAAGGCAAAGGCTCGGGGTATGTCCCCCCTAAGAAAACCACCTCTTTCGGTTTGAACATCGGGCAGTATCTCAGCCCTCGTTTTACCAATGTTTGCGTTTAAATAAATAAAATAAATTTTTGATTATAATAATCTTATGATTATGTAACAACATGTTGAACGAATGTACAATCAATAATTTTAGGACAAAGTGTCTCTTAACGACAATGATGGAAAGGGTTAAGGATAGTAGATAATCAGCGAAATCTATATGCTTAACTTGGAACGATTCTAATCCATATAATCCAACATCTCTAACAATTGGGTTGTGGTTATCAGGTGAACCCTAACCAGTTCAATAGTTAGTGAGTTTATAGACTGATAGTATGCCTCTGATTGGTCACCTCTCTAGCTCCTCTCCAGTTTATCACTATCCCAGGAAATATCACATGTTGAGTTAGACGGTAATCACACATAAGCAATAGATATCCCAGTCACCACATTCGCTAAATAAGTACTCTTTCATCAACTGATTTATTTTGTCGTTGAATTGTCCAAATATATCGGATCACTACTTTGAAGATATCTATAACCAATTACTAGTAAAATGACCTACTAAACTATCTCAAAGAGTGAGATTATAACATTAAATTATCCCTTTAAGATGAATGTAATACGCATAGCAACAACAAGATTTCTTCGTTTGTTCATATATCCAAATTATAAAATGGATAATTTTGATGATTTGTAATGTTCAATAAGTTTTCTTTGTTGATACCATGGTTATATTTAATTAGATCTCCATGTTAACTAACTGTATACAATTCAGAAAGAAACTTGAATTCAGTAAACTTTCGTAGTTGTTGTCATTTATCAATCTTTACTTCTTTTGATCAGTGATATTACTAATAAACTATTTCAATATATGTAACTAACTTAGAATCTTGAAAGAGAACATTTATAAGTATGAATCTTGTATATAAAACTTTTTAACGGATTACATTCTAACATTTAACAAAATATAATTCATAGTCTATTCAACGATTTCTTTTCTTTTTCCTCCCGCTCCCACTCTCTCTTTCTCTGAATGTCTCTTTCTATTTAGAGTCTTCCATCAACTGATTATTGATTGAATAATCGATAATACTACTAAGTGTTATGTTTACAGTCTGAAAAAGGTTAGTACAATATATTAATTGAATTGATTTATTATTGATAATCAATATCATCATTATTGCGTAACATCACCACAGTAACAAACTATTTCATTTGTTACTGTCTTTTGCTCATATGTTTGTTGCTATTTTGTTTGTTATTGACAATAACTTCCTATTTGTATGTATATCACTAATTATGTCATCATGAACGATCATGAACTGTTTGTCATTGGATTCTGTGATTTTGCATCATTCAAATGGATAACCATTTTATTTTACATTCACAAAATATTACTACTCATCAATCAATCAATGATCATTTATGCTACTTATATTGATGATTATTAGTAGTAATGAAAATCTTATTGAAAAAGTATATATATCTATATATATTATCCTGATCATGAATTAGATATTCTCTTTTCTTCTCTCTTATACATTTCATTATTACTTTCATGACTGTTCTAAGAGAATAATGAACAAAAGGATCCATTCATTGATTCATTCATCTGTGATCAATATCAATCAAACAAGGAATTGATTTATTGATTTTCTTTCTTTTCTTGTTTCTTTCTTTCTTTTTTTCCTTTTTCGTTTATTTGAACAAAAAGAAAATCAATAGGGAACTATTTTCCTTCAAATTATTTTCCTATTTATTTCAATTTGATTATTTCTATGAGTAACCATTCAATGACTCTTGTTACAATGCTCCTGTTATAGAATACGAATAATAATGAAAGCCTAGGAAGTATCATTCTACTTGTCCCTCTCTCTATATTTACTACTAATATTGTAGTTAGTAGTATCTGCAGTATCTTTTTTACACACACGCTTGGAAGTTCGTAAAAACATTAGGCAAACTTTGGAACACAAACACACATATGCTAATTCTTTTACATCTGTGTGTGTGCGTGTGTCACTTCCATTTTTCGTCTCTGTTGGGCTCATCAGCTCCATCGAACAAAATGATTTCCAAATTATTATTATTATGATTTGTCTTTATATTAAAAAAATCCCAATTTCAATTTATGGTTATATTGAATGGAACTATTAAGCCAGTTATAATTGAATTCATTGAGAATGGCTTATCAACAATTGATGCCTATTTTTATTCTCAATAAAAATCTTTATATTCCATCGAGTTTTTTTTAATTATTAAAATGACTATTACTATTTTGATTATTATTATTATTCTCTTTGTTGCTATGGTGACAAGTAATTTGACATCTCCCTTTGTATATTTTTATTTTATAAAAAGAAAAAAGAAAAAAACAAACATTGTTGACAATTTTTTTTACTGAAATAAAACAAGAAATATAATTCTCACTTTTGTATTCGTATGAAAGAGATGATGAAGATGATGGTATATTCACTATGGATAGTCTGGAATACCTCCTGAATGAATGTTTAATGTTAACATGGGATTCTTCATCAGTGTTGATTATTCATCACTATTCGGGTCTTAAGTGAGAATACTTATTCTCTAGAATGGATAAGCTGGAATCCATTGATGTTGTTATTATTATCAAAGTCTCATTTCAATCAATTCCTATTGGGAGGAAGAGGATATTCAGGAATTCGAGGTCTATATATTCGTATTCTAACTAAGATCAGTTGATGATGTTAAATGTGAAAACTATTTTCTATGTTTCAGTTGTTGACAGGTATCCTTATCGTTCGTGATTAGTATCTAATCGTTTCCTCATTAGATATTGTATATATATATATTATCAGAATGGGTTCTGTGGAGATTTTAGAAGTTTCACTGGTTGAAATCATGAGTCAGTTGAAGCTAGACCACCATTGAAAACCTGGAAGCACTGGACGGCCGTTTCGTCCTAGTATGGGACTCCTCAGCAGTGCGCATCCACGATCCCGCGTGGTGCGGTGGTCTAGCTTCAACTGACTCATGATTTCAATGTGAAATTTCTAAAATCTCCACAAAACCCATTCTGATAATAATAATCAACTGCTCACTAGTGACTGACTTCAGGAAAAACTCCCGAAGTTCTAGTGAGAAGCCGTTACCAGTGGAGTTCAACCAGGTCTGTTTTGAGATAGTAACTCACTGAAGACAATGGTGTACGGTGGCGCAACTTCGTGGATTGGTTGAAGTTAGACATTAACACCGTTGGATGCCGGCTCAGTGGTCTAGTGGTTAAGTGCTCGCGCGCGAAGCCAGTAGGTCCTGAGTTCGAGCCCCGCATGGTGCGGAATCGTGGATGTGCACTGCTGAGGAGTCCCATACTAGGACGGAACGGCCGTCCAATGCTTCCAGGTTTTCAATGGTGGTCTAGCTTCAACTGACTCATGATTTCAATCTGTGAAATATATATATATGTTAAGTGGTTGGAATGATTCTACAGACAATCCTCATTGGATATAGATTTCGAGCTAATCAATACTCACCTCTACAAATGTTGTAACGTGTTATGACTGCAGGTTTTGATAGCAGCGTTTTATCGATCGATTACAGTGACACGGAAAACATGTACGGACGGCCTAGAGTCTCGATTGGTCCCGCTTCCCTGTCTAGCCCAGCAAGTTGAGTCCAGAACACAAGTAACAGCCTCTGAGTTATGAATCATTATATTTCAGACATATTCTGTTTATATACCAACCAAACAGACCACATCGTACCATAAAAATAGAAAACAACATTTTGTACAATATTCAACAAGTGAACAGATATCGACCAATAGGAAATGTCCATTTAAAGTCCAAGGACACCGCTAGACTTAACATCATAATGATTGGTATATTCCTTTGCATACCTAACAACAAAAAACTTACTTGTGATTGTCGGACTCGAACTTTTTCCAGTCTACTTAACAGATTATGACGTTATTATTCAAACTAAAATTAAATGAGTAATTTGTGTCATATTTATTTACAATGGGTCAGTTGAAGCTAGACCACCATGGAAAACCTGGAAGAACTAGACAGCTGTTTCGTCCTTTCGTGGGACTCCTCAGCAGTGCGCACCCACGATTCCTCACCCCGCGAGATTTGAACCCGGGACCTATCGATCTCACACGCGAACACTGAATCACTAGATCACTGAGCGGGCATGCAACGGATATACCTCTTGAAGACAGTCACTAGTGAGCATATGTTGATTAGTATCAGAAGAGGTTTTTGTGAATAATATAGTAATTTCAATGGTTAAGATGATGAGTTTTATTTATTCCTTAGTTACCTTCAAATTCTATTGATTAATTTGTAGTCAGTATTCTCATTAGTCTTGTCATAACGACTTGTCATTCGATACATGATATTGATCTATTAAATAGTTAAAGATATTGACTGGAATCAGTGAATCAATAAACAGAATGAACATAGATCAAGTGATAATTACAATTGTGAGTCGAAGTGATTGATGGTTATGTTTGTTTGTTTGTTTAATCTGTTTAGCGCTTATTTAGTTTTATCGATCAATGTACGTTCTAATCTCATAATGCAAAATCATTCCTCTTTCAATTAATAGATCTCAAGTACGAAAAAAAAAGATGAAACTTAGACTTTGATTCACGAAGTCATCTAGTATGAGGTGATACAGTTTAGCCCGAAGTCGACAGTACAGATATGTACTTAGATGAAGATATATGTAGTATCATCCTGATATATACAATAGAAAGGGGTTCAGTAAAGTATTAAATATAGTTAAATAGAATATTCCAAGTTGACAACAAGATTTAAAATCAATACTCTTGTCATTGTATCCATGTTGATTGATTTTAATCGAACTGTTTCAACAGTCATTTTATTTGGATGTTTGTGAAATACAATACTTTTCATAGAGGAGCATAGGTCGACCATAGGTCCAACCCTGTCCTGAGAAATCCTTCTTTTCAATTGCTTTTCATGCTTTTCATGTCTACTTCCGATTACCAACGTAATTTGTTCTTTGGCCTTCCTCTTTTCCGCCTTCCTTCAGGATTCCAAGTCAGGGCTTGTCTCGTGATGCAGTTTGGTCATTTCCATATTGTATGTCTTATCTATTTCCAACGTCTTATCCTAATTTTCTTTTCAATTGGAACATGGTTTGTTCTCTCTCACAGTAGGCTGTTGCTAATGATATCCGGCCAATGGATGTTGAGTATCTTGCGTAGACAACTATTTATGAATACTTGAACCTTCTTGATGATGGTTGTGGTAGTTCTCCAAGTTTCAGCTTCGTACAATAGCATTGTCTTGACGTTCATATTATTATTGGTTCACAGACAGCTTTTGTGAGTTCCATATGTTCTTCAATTGAAGGAATGCTCTGCTAATCCTCGCCTTTACGTCTGCATGCGATCCTCCTTCCCAGGCATAAATATTTTCTTATATTTTGGGTTGCTTCTTGTAAATCACTTGTTCATCCCACATGAATTCTAATTGATTGACAACTAGATAAAATCTAACAAGGTCATAATCGTCAGTATAGAACATTTTCATTACAATCAGAATAGGGTTTTAGAGATGATGACTTAGTTTTTGATTGAGATCATTAACCGATTGATGTTAGACCACCATTCAAAGTCTGGAAGAACTGGATGACCTTTTCGGCCTATTGTGGGACTCCTCATTAATGAGAATCTACGATTCATTACAAGACTGACTTTGACATTGGGTAATATTGATTCAGTTCCCTTATTATTGAAAATAGCGTTTGATACAAAGCATAAACTGAAATAAAACTTTAATCAAATGACGGTAACTTCAAATTATTCAACGTCATAGATTCTTTGTAGGTCAAACTAGAATCAAGGATACATTTCCACTTCTAATTTAAACTTCAAAATGAAGCTTAAAATCAATACTTATCACTGTGTACGTTAAAATATTATTCACTAGGTGATTCATTTGCATTAGTTACTATGTAACCAGAGATTAGGATCAATGATCATAAGCACCCAATATTATGACTACTGTAGTCAACGAACACTCAGGTGGGGAGAATCAATTCATTCTTTAATACAAAATTACCAAGTTCTTTCATTAAATGTGAAAACCATACATCAAATACTTCATTTGTAAATCCACCATTCATAGTTCCTTCATTGCTATTATACTAATACTCTCTGTTTACATTCCCGTTCTCTTCTATTCGATCTTCTCAACCTTCTACTGCCAGGCATTCTACTTCTGATTGATGCTGTATACTACGTATGTATGTCGTCATAAATAGCATACACCACACTACTACTAATACTACTGACAATAATAATGATCATAGCAGAGTCTAACCAAGAACTATTTATAAGTAGTATCGATACATTGGATCAAGTAGCTTATATGTTTGTTAATCATGTTTCTAGTTGAACAAATTGTGTTTATGATGAATTCATATTCTAAACTTTGTTTAAGTATCTGATGTTATTGACATACTCTTAATCGGTGGAAATCATTAGTCAATTGAAGCTAGACCACCATGGAAAACGTGGAAACACTGGAGTTCAACCAAGTCTGTTGTGAGATATCAACTCACTGCCGGGTCAGTGGTCTAGTTGATTAAGCAATCGGCGCGAGACGGATAGGTACTGGGCTCGAATCTCGCGGGGGCGTGGTCGTGGATGCGCACTGCTGAGGAGTCCCACACTAGGACGAAACGGCCGTCCAGTGCTTCCAGGCTTCCCATGGTGGTCTAGCTTCAACTGACTCACGAATTCAACCAGTAAAATTTCTAAAATCTCCACAAAACCCCTTCTGATACTCTTAATTGGTTGAAGATTACAAGTGACCTATAAAAAATCCACTCCCTCCCATTTCCTCCCCTCCCCAGTAACATTAAATCATGTTTACTTTCCTATCAATATTTCTTATACAAAATGTTATTCTGTTACGTAAAAACAACCTAGTCTGTAGGTTAGCTGGCTATTGATAACAGTTCAATTATGGAGACAGAGGAATCCCGTTAGTAATTCGTTCTCTTTAGGAATCATCGCCCGGCCAAATCCTATGACTAAATTTCATCTATCGATCAGTATTCGTTTCATTCATTTAACAGCGGAAAATTTCCTTGTCAAAACCTGAAAATCCTAACTCATTACAATTACTATTGATTGAATATACCTGTCATCTAATTCAATACAGATGTGTGTCCAGTTTTATCCTACTGGTTGAGTCAGCAGTTTATAAAATAGAACCTATAACCTAATCATAACCAATGGGATCTTCTTATTATTGAATTTCTATGAAATCATGAACCGATCAATGATAGTCTTCAACTGAAAACCTGGGAGTACTGGATGACCGTTTCGTCGTACTAGTGAATAATCAAGTGTTGCACATTCACGGCCCCACACGTGGATCAAACACAGGATATGATGTTCTGTGTTTGAACTTCTATGCCACTTAGGTGGCATAGATCCCGGCTCAATGGTCTTGAGGTTGAGTGTTCTTACACGAAACCATGAGCCCTGGGCTCAATCTATAGTTGTGGGGTCGTAGACGAGCTTTCCTTGAGAGTTCAGTAGTATGACGAAACAACCTCCAAGTATTTCTAGGTTTTAAGTGGAAGTCTAACTCATATCAGTTCATGATTTTAAAGAAAACAATATATTACTTGTTAAAGTCAAATATCTCTATAAGCTGTTCACCAGCAAATAAAAATAGAACGAAGTTCGAACCGTAGAACTCAATGATTCGAATCCTAAACTCTTCAACTAATCAGTACTTCACTTTTTCAGTATGACAAGATTACATTTATATAACATAATTTATAATTCCACCTGGAGTCCCTCTGAAGCTATTGTCGGTTCCAAGCCCGGATAAACGAGAACAGTTGAGCATGGGGTTAGCAACCTTATCCCGTAGAAAACTAACCCGCTGAAAAAAGCGCTAACCAAAAAATAATAAGTCAAATAACATACTTTATAATACCAAATAATACATAATTGAATTAGAATTAGAATTTTCTTGACATTGATAGCATCATCCTTCATCATGTAACTATATTAACAGTTCTGTGGATTGATTACATATTGCTTGTATTAAATAGAAAGAGTAATTGATTGAACAAAATAGTTGAAAAGTACCTAAGTTACGAAGAAGAAGAAGAAGAAAAAGAGAAAGGAAATCAGAATGGAATGATCGGATGAAAGATTTTTATGATCAGTCAGTCAGCTACAACGTAGGACCAGGCACATATGCGCATCGGTCCAAGTTGCCATACCCAATTAGCACAACAAGATTGTGTGTAAGGACATAGTAAAGGACGAAAGAATTAGTTCGTAGAAAGAAAGGAAGAGTGTATATACCTACGCCATTCTGATCGATTTTGAGTCATATCACACACAGTCTCCAACCATTGGTTACGATAGTCATGTGGACCCCAAACAAGTAGTTCGCATCGACCAACATGGCTCATACCAGAAGTCAATGGCCTCAAGTACTGATGCCACGTTTTGGTTTGCCCACCCCTAACATTCTTCCAACCATCCTCCAACACAAATCATCATTGAGCGTCTTAGTAATCCATGCTCAGGTATACACAACACGTGGCCCAAACACCTGATTTGATGAAGATTTATAAACTCATCAACTGATTTACCATCATCATTCCCTAATACCCTACGTCTAACCTCATTATTACTTACCCGGTGATACCAGCAGATGCGAGCAATATTTACTTTTTAATGGCTATTAATCTGACTGTAATTAGGTCGGATCTGATTGCTATTGAAATATGCACGTCACCAATCCTCATGTATATTCATTGACTTAACTCACGTTAGTGAATAACGGAATTAAATAAATCAAATGTGAGAATGGATGCTTGAATACGCATACTTTGTACACTCAATGATCTGGACAGACAATCAAAGGGACGAAGCGAAGAAATCGAAGAAAAAGGGGAATGAAGAGAAGAGAACGAAACGAAATGACGTGCGATGAAGATGGTGTGAGCCAACTCCATTTCATCAGGCATTAATCAATAAAAATAAATTACAGACATGTAATGAATAGAATGAAAATTGTATACACATAAGCTTACATGAGTACAGTGAAAGTTGATAAGCGAATAATTGACAAGGTCAAAATATAACTCAAGTAGAATGAATAAACTGACTTATCCGGAAACTGGAATAATCTATGTGGTCTTGACACAGTAGACGACACTACAATTTACAACTTAACTATAAATTGAAAGTTATATGTTGGACACACTACAGATTATCTCTTAACAAAGAATATAATTCTAATGTGAGATGGATATTAAATTGAGGAGAAAGATTGACATAATTTGTAAAGTGAAGTTAGTTATTTTGAAATTCTTTTAGAAAGCTGTAACAGACGAAGATAGACATTATTACATCAATGACATCATCTCATCATTGTTCAATAGTTCAATTTGATTGAAATGTATCCATGTTTACTAACTGATGTAAAATTTCCGGGTTTTGATTCTTTGTCAAACTGCATTTACATATTGATGTGAATTATTGGGCTATGACATAAAAAGTTCTTTTCAAGCATTATTATCAAATATGATGGAAACACGTAGGTAACGTTATGAACATTCGTTGGTTGGATCAACCAGAACTCATTTCGCTTCGACAAGCGTTTTAGAAGTTAAATTCACTAGTCAATATAAGCTAGACCACCAGTGAAAACATGGAAGCACTGGATAGCCGTCTTGTTCTGTCAGTATGAGACTCCTTAACAGTGCACATCCACGATCCTGAACAGAGGACTCGAACTGAGGACCTTCGTCTTTGCACGCGACTGCTTAACTTCGACTCATGAATTCAACTACTAAAATCACTACAACCTCCAAAACCCTCCATTCTAATAAAAATGCTTTAAAAGTAAGTGTAGTTGATAAGATACATATGAATAGCTGCCGCGAGAAATGACGGTTGATCTAATATTTATATATAAATGTAAACATGTAAATATATGAACTATTTCTCTATATTGATTAGAATACTAGAAATCAAGATTTTAATCCTAAATTGGTCACAATTGTTTATCTGCATTAATTATTGTGAGATAATGGAGAAGATTTGAGGCTAAGATGGATAATTTTGATGGAGTTTTGTTCTCTGAGATGGTTAGTTTGGTCAAACCAATGGAAGATACAGATTAATGGTCAACAATAACCAATCAACATCGACGTCTACAACACAATCTGTGAATCAAATGTGTAGAGAAATTCGAACACTTCATTTCTATGTGAAATTTCTGTTGCTGATGTTGTCGTTCAGCCGAATGATGGGAGCTCCACAACTAAACCATCCACTTCAGTGAAAAAAACTCTATCAGAACTATTTATTGTTACCTGTTATAACCAATTTACTTGGTCTTTAAAAAGTAATAAATATCATATCGGATAAATTTTTCTCGACTTCTGTCAAATTGTATTTCGTTTTATTGATCTGTATTTCATCAGTTAAATGTATAAAATTTAATTTCATCTAAATACAATTTACGACAAGCAACACATACAAACGTTTATTTTTTGCTTTTTCATTTTAACTACTGAAAATATATCAGTAGCTTCTGGAGTTAACAGTGATTGTTTAGGATTTTAACTTACCAGATTCAGTGTCATGGTCAGTGACTGACACTGCAACTGAGTTGTTCAGGTATCTAGTAACATTCTCTGTAAGACTGAGATTTGTACACCTATTGATCGGTATCATATTATCTTGTCATTAGTGATGTTTGAATTTTCTAATTCAAGTTTAAATGTCACAGTACCAGTCAAGATAACATCATACTGTTATGAAATACCAAATAGTGATAATCAACCATCGATCATTGTTCATTGGACTAAGTCGAATTAGTATGTGTAGAGTGCCTTGTCGAAGTAAAACTGATTATTGTTACCTAATGGTTGTAGACATTGAATGACATGATTCGGTCAGAATCGGTCTCATTGGACTACTCTTAAATACTGAGTTTTAAAATTTACCTATACGTTTTTGTTCCACGAATTCATTCATTGTTTTCAGATTATCATTTTTTACTACCACTAATCCTTTTACAATGAAAAGATACAAGCAAACAGCATCAAGCGAATTTTGTTACTAGTTTTGTGGTGTATACTACTACTTATGTCGACAGATTGAAAGTTTTAGGTTCGAGTCCCTCGTGCAGAATTTTGGATTCATACTCTGCTGAGGTATCTCATACTATCAGGACGAAATGAGCATCCAGTGCTTCGAAGTGTTCAATGGTGATTTAACTTAGATAAATAAATAAATCATAATAACTCTTAATCATACTGATAGATTTACCTAAAATTAAATATGCCTTCTTCAAATGATACCAATATAAAATATGAATGAAAAATTTTTTGTATAAAGTGTATTATTCACAGATTGAATCTCTTCTTAATGATTAATTGATTGATCGATTGACTGATTGGTTAGTTGTTGTCAAGGTTAATGTATATTTGTACTACCTAAAAAAAGAAAGAAACAGAGATTGATTTTATGTGTTAATCAGAGTATACTTTCATTGATTTGACTTCATCATGATCGATAATGATTGGGGAAAGAGTAATTACGATGTTAAGGGAAGAATTCAGCTTAGTGACTGATAGTGTAGTGGATAAGAATACCGGCGGGGACAATTGAATGTAGTTCATCACAACATTACAGAATGTCAATCAATTGTATCAAATTTGACTGTTCTTGCATCATTTCCATACTAATCATTCTCCGTTCTCGTTCTTTTCAATTTGATCTTCTTCATCTTCTACCAACTCCACCTGTAGCTCTTCTAGAGCTACTGCCGGTCCCAAGCCCGGGTAAGGGAATGAGGTTGTGCATGGGGTTAGCGACACCATCCCGTAGAAAACTAACTTGCTAAAAAAACGCTAACCAGAAAAATAATTCAAAGCATTTAAACTCTGCTCTGGGAGTTAGAAAGTCTTCAGTTAGAAGAACTATGACGCTTCATGGTGGAAGTTGAATTCCTTCGGAAGCCACGAGGCCGATCCTCACCCCCTTCATCTTCTACCGTCAGACATTTCACTTTCGGTTGATGATACTTACTACTTATATCTGTCGATATCAGTAGCACACACCACTATATAACGGGTGGTTTAAAGTAGTTTTTTTCACTCTCACGTATACTACTACAATAATACGTTGATATGATAATAAGACTAATCATGTTATATCAGATGAGGATTTACGACCCAGAAAACAGGACTAAAGTATAAACTAGAAATTACTTTATTCGATACAATGACAAGCGGTTACTCGTAGTCATTCCACTGTAGAAATCAATAACAGGAAAGGTGATTACATATTTAATAGCCCTTAGGCTTAGTACCTTTTTATCGATATTTTGCACTCATCACTAGACATCACTTTCATGGTATGCTCTGGTTGTTTTTAATGTACATAGAAAAAATTGTGGAATACTGTCACCAACTTAAATGATATTCGCTTTTCGTCCTCACAATTTTGTAAACAACACCCGGAGTATTATTTCGCAGTGAATTCCAGATTTCCCTGGTAGTGGTTGTATGCATTTGGCCATGCTAGAGCATTTCGATCGATCGATCGAGAGAGAGAGATAACTGACTCTCTCCAGTTCATAATGAAAACTATGACAATAAACACACAATAACTTACATATTTATATGAATATCAATAGTGATAGATATAGTGATTCAAGCAATTGTATCTTTCTGTTTATTCTCTGAATTAGTTTGTTCCAATGTTTGAAATGTAACATTTTGTTTAGATTGTTCAGTTTCACGTATAATCCATTCATGATTTAAAGCTTCATTTGGTGTAATTCTTTCATCTGGATCCCATCTATTAGTAGAAAGAAAATAAAATCCAAATGACAAATTATAGTTTGTTAATCATGGAACTAAATATCTGAATATAATTGTATTCAATTGTTGATATCAATAGTGCTACTCGAACTCGGCACCTTCTGATTGAACCGTCCATATGAATTATCCAGTGAACTTCTGAATAAGTATAAGCACCGAATTATTCAATAGAGATTGAGTTGAGCAAGGAAAGCGTAAACTATTGGTTTAAAGTCTTAGCGCTGAAACATTGAGCTAACAACTTCCAAACCAGTTGAAATATACATCTTGAACTTCGTTACAAGCTACCATAACTTGTGTCTGAAGTCTATCAGTCAGTCAGCAACAATGTAGAACTTCATACCTACGTACATCGGTTAACGTTGCCATAACACATTTACAAAAAGATACAATTATCGATTCAAATCCCATAGTGGTAAAAGTAGTAAAAGTATAAGCAGTAGTCGGAGAGATTAGGATTTGAACACTTCATTCAAGGAGTATAATCAAGTGAAATAAATTTGTAGAGAGAAAAACAAAGAGGGACATGAAGAATTCAGAAGATTAGAATTTGAGAGAACACAAAGAGTGGATGCATCTGTGCCATTGCAAACTATGTTGAGCCATGTCACATTCATGGTCTCTGACCATTGGTTGCTATCGTCTCGCGTATGCAAAGCAGGTGGTCTACACCCACCAACATGAATCAGTTCACTTGTCAGTGAATTCATGAATTTGGCCACCCCTATCGTTCTTCCAACCTACTCATACATTATAAAACATCACACTTTGGGACACTCGGTGTTTGGGTATCAGTAACACATGTTCCAGCCATTTCAACTGATGAAGTCGTACTACTTCATCACTTGAGTTGTCATCCTTACCTTGTACTCGTCTGTAGTCTATAATAGACATGATCCATTTTATAATAAAAAGACCCTGATCAATTGTAGTTCTAAGTATTCACAATATGATGGTGAAATCCCATGGTAACAATTCATTAACTCAGTTCAACCCTACTATTTTTTTATCGATTTATTTTGATGAGTAAAAGTTTAATCTGCTATTTATGATTTTAATAGATCAAAACATACAATCTGAAGAGATTCTTAACATAGGGATTATCTACTATTATCACAGAGATATATCTACAACGTGAGTAATCCACTATACGATGATATCATGTTTTGTAGGTTGCTTAAAATTATGAATCGTTCTAAGTTAGGCCATCATCGGAATCCTAAAAGTATTAAATGACTGTATAAACTCATAAATGAATTCCATAGTAGTCTACAATCACAATCGAACCTAGAGTATTCTGTCCTGTACATGAATGCCTAATCTCTATACAATTAAGCTGGGCATTCAACAGTACTTCTTTCGTATAGAATGTTTCAGCTTGAATTAATTCATTTTTAAAGTTTTAACTGCTCTCTTTGATTTCATTCAATTCGCTGTAAAGATGATGTTGAACGACGTGCACTGGAGGGAAAAATGCTTAAAGTCAATAAGATTTTAATGTATTCAGAAATTCGTTGTTTTGTATTCTCTATTCAAAGTCACTTCAAGTTATATTCTGAGTCCCAGAGTGAACATCAACTCTGAGATGCAGGTACATCCAACTGACGAGTCCCAAACAGGACGAAAACGCGCGTCTTGGATTCCACTGCTAGCCACTATCTATCTTTGCTTATTCTGATGTATGTTCAAAATATATTCTCATTGATTGTAGTCCATGGAATCTACTCTATAAGAGCAAATAAACGTATTGATTTGGTCAAACTAAAAGGTAACTAAGACGTTCATGTCTAATGCATCCACAGTACTGGATATTATCAAGCCTTAAAGTTGTATGTTCGATTCCTTGTAGGATATATTAAGATAGAATTATTGAATCATCATCTCAAATCAAACAGAAATTTATTCATTCCAGGAAATGCTAAATTTTATAGTCTACACTACGGATTGATGTTAAGTAAATGATATTTTTTTTAACTACAAATCACTGAACAACTGATTGATTCTTCTATGGGAATCATCTGAAGTGCTTATTTACAGTCCTGTCAGGAATCGAACTCAGAACTGTCAGATCTCACAGCGAACATGTGATGTTATATCTTATTGAAGATTAAATTACGGGTATCTTCGGAGACATATGAATTGACTAATATTATCTATCAATTCTTATAGTATAACTATTCATTAATTAGATTATGTATATTTATATTCCCCTTATTATAACCTTTATTTTGACTTATAATTTATTATTATACGATTTACTGTCCCTAAATTGTGCTCAGTCTATTGACTAATGCCTCCAACGTTCACAACCACTTTTTGGCTTTATTGTGTATGAATGTTAGTTCCTATTTTATGGTGTGATGCGGTTTGTTTGGTTGACATATAAACCCAGTATGTCTAAAATAAATGATTCGATTCCATTCGCATCGCATAGTGGAAGCCGGTATTGGTGTTCTTCACTCAAGTGGATGAGCTAGGCGGACATAGGACCAATAAGGCCGCTAGGCTGCTCATACCGGTCGAACGTCATCGGTTTTGGCACAATGTGAAGACCGCATAAGTCGTATTTTGATTGGTGGATAAATCACGTGATAACTAGTCGGACATAAAGTCATAACATGTAATCTGAATACTAATTATTCAACACTCAATAGTTTACATTTCTAGTTTAATTCCATGTCACACAAATATTCTCTTATACAATTTAACTAGTCTTGGATTTACACTACAATACTGAGAGTTACATCTAGAAATCACTTACTAAAGACAAAATGACAATAATACGACTATCTCATGACTATTCTCTTAAAAGAATAGAGATAATAACAAAATTAAGCGATGGTTATATAAACTCAATACCAAAATGGATTAAGCGATAATATTTGCAATGAAGGGTGACTAGGTCAGAGTCCGATGATGAATAACTGACAAAATCCAATAAAGATGAAATGAACTACTAACCATCATTCATCTTTACTTATAATCCTTTTCAACTTAATGACAAATATCATAAATCCATATATACCAAAAGTCATTGAACAATCTGAAGTTTTAAACATCAATGAGAAAGATTCAAACAATCAATATATAAATTGTACAGATTGAAATCATGAGTCCGTTGAAGCATGACCACCATTGAAAACCTGGAAGCTCAGTGGTCTAATGGTCAAGTGCTCACGCGCGAAGCCAATAGGTCCTCGGTTCGAATCCCGCGTGGTATGGGATCGTGGATGCGCACTGCTGAGGAGTCCCATACTAGGACGAAACGGCCGTCCAGTGCTTCCAGGTTTTCAATGGTGGTCTAGCTTCAACTGACTCATGATTTTAATCCGTGAAAATTTCTAAAATCTCCACAAACCCCTTCTGATATAAATTGTAATGGGATAACTTACGTTAAACATTGATTTAATAAATTGATAAATTTTAAATCAACCGTTTTGACTAGATTTTCTATTGTTTCTGTGCCTGGTATACGTTTACGTCCTCGACTATTGGTTAAATATCTTGGTGTACGTTTTGAATCTAAAATAGAAAAGAAACAACGATTATTGGTTTATTACTTTGTGAATGTGAATCATGATTCTTAGGAGTTTCGATGACATTATCACTGTTAGATGCCGAATTAATCGTATAAAGGTTAAGCGTTCGTGTGTAACATCGAAGGCTCTGGGTTCGATTCCCGTGAGCAGGATCATAAATATTCATTGCTAAGAAGTCCTGTACTGCCAAGACGAAACGGTCGTCTAATGCTTCCAAGTTTTCAATGATAGTTTAGCATCAATCGATTCATGATCTTAATCATAATCGAATTAGTTGAAATAAGATCTTCGGGTGAAAGGAAGGTTAAACTGAATTGAAATGTCACTTAGACAATGACTCTTAGTTGTACAATCAACATTTTTATTCTATTTATTTAAACACATAAACATTGGTACAACGAAGCACCAAATAGATACGCGCTACAATTCGTCATTCGACTTGTGTGAGGGCTGGAATACTATCCGGGTTCCCAAGCCGAAGCAGGTGGTTTTCTAAGAGGGCCACACCTGGAGCCTTCGACCTACAGCTCTGATCCACAAGTTAGTGGAGCAACGTCCGGAGATACAGTCCCATGCTAGACGGTGATCGACGATTGGTTCATACACCATTTGTTCCTTCAGAATAATGGAGCCCAAGTGCACCATTGATATGGGATCACAGTTTTCCAACTCCCATAGGTGGACTGTTCATGTCCACCAACCCAGTTTTTGTCCTCTCAATTATGTAAACAACAGTAATGCCGCGAGAAGACAGTGAGCAGGACTTCTCTGGCAATGGCTGTATACCCGTGGCCATGTAAGAGCATTTTGAGAGGGACAGTTGACTTTCCCCACTCTCGGCCGTACAAGGGCATTTAGGAGCCGACTAATAAACAATATGCACATCATTTACCTTACACCAAATCGAGTTTCAAATACTGAGTTTGCAAATGTAGATTATTGAATGTTAATTCAGCAATAAAACGTTATATTTAATTTGATAAAAGTTCATAACTTCATGCCATCTTTAGCTTGAATGTATCTTCACGATCAAGCCTTATGTCTCCATTCTCCACTTCAATAAGTAACACTGTGAAACACTGTCAAAAAATCTTCCATGATGTAGTACTACGGTGTATGCTACTTATGTTGACAGATATAAGTAGTAGGTAACACCAATTAGAAGTAGAATGCCTGGTATTAGAAGATTGAGAAGATTGAATTGAAAACAACAGGACTATAAACAAATAGTAATTGTATTGAAATAACGATGAAGCTTATAAGAGGCAACCGATGGAATATGTGCAAATGATCTACTCAATGTATGGTTTCCATATTCTAAGTATATGCTCTTCAATTTGACGTTAAAGAAAAAGTTCTCTATTTCCACATAAATTCTTTGTTTACTACAGTACTATAAACATTATCAGAGATTGTAAACAAGGTCAGCGTTTTTCGATGAGTAACTGAAGTTTGAGATATTTCTATAAAGAAAACACGATTCTACACAATTAAAGTGTTTTGATGAAGTTTTGTCCTCTGAACTGTATGGTTTGGGCATAGAGCTTTCACAGTTATCCTGAACGACATCATCAGAACAAACCATCCAGCTCAGAGAACAAAACTCGATCAAACTCATTCACTTAAGCTACAGATCTTCTCCACCATCACAGTTAAAGTATGTAAACAATAGAATATACCAATTTAAGATATATGTATTTTCAGTAATACACTTAAGATTACATCATGATTAGTATGGGGCTGTAGAGATGATTGATTGAGATCATGAACCGATTGGTGTTGGACCACCATTGAAAACCTGAAAGCACTAGACCGCCGTTTCATCCTATTGTTTGGATTACTCTGCAGTGCGCACCCATGATCCCGCTAAGGGATCTCTAACCCAAGGCCTTCAGTCTCGCGCGCGAACACTTAACATCTAGACCACTAAGCCAACTATCACTTGTTTAATAAATATCAATTGTGAACCAATTCCCAATGATACTGAGGAAGTATCTATGTGTATAACTGAAATAAAGGATTAAGACAAAAACACAACTGTAAACATCCAAAAATTAATGAAATTGTCTTACCGAAAAATACTCTTCGTCTACTGGCTTTTTCAAGTTGTAATTCAGATGGTAAACCAAGTACTTCCATAATACAAGCCAATTGTTCATTTTCATTTTCTCCAGGAAATAATGGACGACCTGATTATAAATGGATAGTGAGGTGGGGGGGGGGAAGAAATAATAATAATTGCAGTAATACCAACTATAAATTTAGTAATTAAATTGTTACTAACAAATTTGATATAAGTAGATTATTTGTTTGAAGGGGATTTGCGGTTATTGGTCTTTGTTTCTACGTTGTATTTGTTATAGATTAATTACAGTAGCAGTACTCCTGAAAATTAGGGATCAGTGGATAAGTATCTAACTCTAGAACTAGACTCTTTAGCGCTTTGCACTTGCCTCTACAAAACTTTATTTAATTAGAACTATAATAGTTAGCTAAATAATGAATCGCTTTACAATGATCCCAAAGTTCTTATCTAATGTCTTGGCTGGTGCTCAGGCATGTTGGGGGTGAAATATTTGCGACGAATGTGATTAAATGATCATCTTGTTATATCACTTATGGACTGAAGTTCAAATTGCATCTTTCAATATCGACTCGGTGACTGTATTAGCTACATTTTCGTCCCAAGACCTCAAGGATCTGGGTCTTATTCCTGGTTAAGTCATGCATGGTTCGATTCCTACATGGGAGATTGTGGATGAGTACTACTTAGGAGTTCCATACTAGGCCGAAACAGCCATCTAGTGCTTCCAAGTTGTCAATGGTGGTTTAGCTTAGGTTGACTCGTGAATTCAACTTTGAAAGTATCTGTTTGGTCAATCTCAATGTCAAAACTAGAATCGCTCAACGTCATTAGAATAGTTTTACTTCTACCATGGAGTTTGTCGGTAAAGTACAAAGAATATGGATCATTGTTGTCTCCCCTGAAGAAACCAATAGTGTCTATTGAACACAAATATTTAAAGCTTATGGTGAAGTGTTCATTACAATAATATATGAGCATCAGAATTTGTGAATAAGGAAACCGAAAAGATTAGTTGGTTCTGACGATACTTGTCCTGATCTATTTCAGTATAGATATCTCAGAGTTCTAATCAGCAGCCATATTTGATGGAGTTTAACCATGTTGGAAATGAGTTAGATCTCACAGATAACACTAAATAACTGTGCTACTGATATCGACAGATATAAGTAGTGTGTAATATCAAACGAAAGTGAAATGCCTAGAGGCAGAAGGTTAAGAAGATCAAAGAAAAGAGAAGGAGAACAAGGAATGATTACTGTAGAAATGAAGGAACAGTCAGATCTGAGACGATTGATTTCTCTGAGCTGTTCTGTAATTTTGTGTTCAACTACATTTGGTTGTCCCCACTTGTGCTCTTGTTCACTACAGTAGATACCAGCTCATTGATCAAAAAGATATTATGATCATCCAAAAATCTGCATTTCTTGCATTCGACTTAATAGTATGGTAGGGGTATTACTCTAAGTAGAGTTCCTATATGTGATTAAAAATTTAATTAACAGAATGACAACTGTTTAGTTGGCAGTCAATAGAATTGAATGGAATATTTAGCACCTAAACTACTATACTGTAACATAAACACCTTAATAAATGAAGGTTATTTTGCCAGTCCTGAACTGTGTTTATCGATTAAGCATGAAATTATCATTCATCGCTTTATGGGTTTTGGAAAGTGCTGTGGGGCGGCTTATGCTCCTCCACAAGGAGTAACAGGCGTAAATAAGTAAGGTTAGTATCTCTTTTGATGTATCATTATGAGATGAAAGAAGAAAAATACACAATTGATTCAATCATATTTACATAAGTTTTAATCTTACCTGTATATAATTCAGGTAGAATACAACCTAAGCTCCACATATCAATTGGTGGACCATAAGATATACCTAATATAATTTCTGGTGCTCTATAAAAACGTGATTGAATATACGTATACGCTAAAATGTTAAATATAAAATTTTAAAAAAATAATGAGGATCACACTTCATCTAATCGATTTGATTGGTTTGAAACAACAACTGATTGTGGAGAAGATTTGTAGCTCGAGGGTGGATGATTTTGATGGAGTTTTGTTCGCTGAACTGGATGGTTTGGTCGTGGAGCTTTCAACAAGAACCAATCAACATCTAGCTGTTCAGATCAAGCTGTGAACTACATGTGTGGAGAAATTCGAACACTTCACTTCTATCTGAAGTTTATGCTGATGATGTCGTTCAGAAGAACGATGAAAGCTCCACGACCAAACCATCCAGTTCAAGGAACAAAACTTCATCAAACACTGATCATATGAATATGATGACTTTAATGAAGAATAATTGACAATTTCATATAAATAATTATCAATATATAAAGTCATTGATGAGTATATTTTGATGAGACTATAATTTATGAACGCCCTGTTTGAATATCTAGACTACGTGTTCCTGACATCAACATCACATATGGGAGAAGTGACGACCTTCGATTGTACCAGTTACAAAAGAGCTCAATCAGCGACATCGTATTTGTTAGAAAAGTAAACACATGAATCCGATGTCGATTGCTGACTGGCGATCACTCATTATGTTATCGTCAGGATAGATGAAGAAATAAGAAATGGGAAATTTGTTGAAATACTTTGTGCTTAAAATTCTATATTGTACTAAATGCATAATACTTACTTCACTTACTTTTTTACTTATGCCTGTTACTCCCAAATGGAGCATAGACAGCCGACCAGTATTCTCTAACCCACTCTGTGCCTGGGTCTGAATAAAGCTAATCATAATCAGTATAGTCGATGAGACTATAATTTATGAACGTGCTTTGAACAATGCTAGAATGGCCTAAGAATGGCCAATTACTTACTAAGGTTAAGTGAGGATTAGAGATTAGTGTAAAGAGTTAGGATTATGATTTACAGTTGAACGTTAGGGTTAGGAATAAGTTTTTTTTACATAATCATCATGAAATGACATCAGCAGCTATAATGCCAAAGTGCCATTTAGGCCAATGAATGGATGAATTTTGCGCCAAAATTCAAGATTTCCTATCTTAAATTGTAGTCTCGCCATGAGGATTTGAAGATGTTATCCAATGAAATAAATTTGGAAAGATAAAAAATAGGGAACATGGAGAATTCAGAAGATTAGAATTTGGGAGAAGACAAAGAGTGGATGCACCTACACCATTGCAAAATATGTTGAGTCATGTCACATTTAGAGTCTCTGACCATCGGTTGCTATCGTCTCGCGTATCCAAACCAGGTAGTCTACACCCCTCAACATGTATCAGTACACTTGTCAGTGAATTCATGAATTTGGCCGCTCTTGTCTTTCTTCCAACCTACTCCTACGTCATAAAACATCGCACGTCGCGACAGTCGGTGTTCGGGTATTGATAAATCTTGCGGATTGAACGTTATTTTCGTCTCCTAAAATATTCTGTAACCCCCAAGCTAGAACTATACAGCGACCTGAACACGAGAGAGAAGGCTCAGAGTATGCGAGAAGTAGTTTACTCCATAGGTTCATTTCAGTACAGAAAATATAGGGTTTTTATAATATTCTAAATATCCTTGGGTTGCTAGAATATTCTGGAATGCTACTAAACGTATTAGCAGTGTAGCAGCCAACCAATCAGAGCCTACGCATTTGACGTTTCGCTTCCATCATATTTTTGGCTAAGACTTCAAGTGAACACTGATTGGATGAAGCGCTTCTTAGTGTTTCCTGATGATTGCTTGTCTTTTGCAAGCAATTTTCTGGATCACCCCAACAGGTATAAGTAACACATGTTCCAGCCATCTCAACTGATGAAGTCACACTATTTCATCAATTGATTTGCTATCCCTACATAGTACCCGTTTCCTAACAACTGCATTACTTATTCGATAGTTACAGCATATACAAACAATGCTTCAAAGACACCTAAAGACACTTATACGTAGTGAATTGTTAATCCATCCTAGTTCTAAATACCTTAGTAGCGCTTACTTAAATTTAAGATTTTCAAATTTGAATTGGGGATAATTTGTCAATGAACTAAACAGGAATAACACTTTGTTTTATCTATGGTGTGGTATGCACTACTGATATCGACAGATATCAGTAGTATGCATCACCAGTCGAAAATGAAATGTTTGGCGGCTGCAGATCAGGAAGATCAAATAGAAGAGAACGAGAACAAAAGTGGTTGGTGTGGAAATGAAGGAACAATGAAGTCTGAGTTAATTGATTGACATTTTGCAGAATGATATATTTACTGTATGGTTCTCAGATTTCACTAAGATGTTCTATAATGTATTCAAATACATTCGATTGCCTCCATTTGTGTTCTCATTCTTTATAGTACTATTTCAGTTTTGTTAGCTTGAATATCAAGTTCCCTTCACTACTTCTTTCTTATGCTTCTTTATGATGATGGGTTATTGTTGAAATGTTTACATGTGATATGTGACACTTTATCCAACTTAATAAAGAACTTATATTCATATTAGAATAAGCTAAATCATTTCAATAGTTGAGATCATGAGTCAATTGAAGCTAGACCACCATGGAAAACCTGGAAGCACTGGACAGCCGTTTCGTCCTATTGTTAGATGAAATTGAGCGACCCATCGACCATTGTCTTCAGTGAGTTACTATCTCACAAATGATACGCTTGAACTCCACTGGTCACTGCTTCTCACTGGAACTCCAGGATATATCTGTTGAAGCCACTCACTAGTGAGCATATGCTGATTAGTATCAGAAGGATTAGTTGAAGTTGGACATTAACACCATTAAATGCCGGCCACCTCAGTGGTCTAGTCGGTTAAGCGCCTGGCGCGGAACTGATAGGCCCTGGGTTTGAATCCCGCGAGGCGGGGTCGTGGATGCGCAATGCTGAGGAGTCCCAAAATAGGACGAAACGGCTGTCCAGTGACTCCAGGTTTCCCATGATGATCTAGCTTCAATTGACTCATGATTTCAATTAGTGAAATTACTACAATCTCTACAAAACCCCTTCTGATAATAATGAATCATAGCAACTATCAATCAATAATTATGACATAATTAATTTTCTTTTTTGACTTACTTTTTTGATTCACAAAACAACTTGAACCAAAATCAATAACTTTTAATTCTGATGGATTATTTAAACCAATAAGAATATTTTCCTAAAATAATCAATCAATAGAAAAATGATTGATTATTAAACAAAATTCTTAAATGATCAAATTAAGATTTCATTTCAATGTCAATAAAGTTGTTGAGACGGTTTCCAAGAAGTACGACGAAGCATGCAGAAGCCCTAGAAAAGTCGAAAAGTTTCATCTAATCAGAACTCAATGAAGCTATGCAATTTCGTTCTCTGACCTGGATGGTTTAGTCATGGAGCTTTCATTGTTCTTCTGAAAGAAATCATCATCAGCACAAACTTCAAGGAGAAGTGAAGTGTTCAAATATCTCCATATGTGATTCACAGCTTGTGGAGAAATTCGAACAGTTCATTTCTACCTGAAGTTTGTGTTGATAATGTCGTTCAGAAGAACAATAAAAGCTCCACGACTATACCATGCAGCTCAGCGAACAAAACTCCATCAAAATCATCCACCATCCAGCTACAAATCTTCTTCACCATCACAAAATCATAGGAGCTACGCAATAGCATGCTATTATTGGTCAATAACATAATATGCCTCTTTGCGGATTGGTTGAATTGTAATGTTGATAGAACAAATGCTAATATCTATAAATACCCATGATATTCTGTACATTTTGATTCTTGCCCAACGAATACATTCTCCAGTGTTCTTCTCTCTTGTCATTTGCAACTTGAGAAGGTCCTAGAGTTCGAATGCTCATGTTATACGCGGTATATTAAGAATCTAAGCTTCAACATATAACAAAAGTTATACATAGTTACATGACAAAACTGTCTTTGAATTAAGTTGCTTAATAATCGTGAAAGGGAGTTATCAGGACAACTTTTATCAACAACATTCAAGAATGTTGTATATCAAATAATCATCGATAATGTGAATCAAGGACAATTCTATAATATTTGATCTGAACACAGTTTTCTTTGAGGAGGGGTTACATCTTGAATAGCTTGAAGATTACTAGTTGGTTACATCATGATCCTTTTCGTATACGACAATAATTATTCACAAAAAGATTACTATTACAGTTTGTCAATGAAAGATTTTTCAGTTGGGATTAGTATGTGCTCAACTATGACTGAATTTATATTGATCAGAAATAAGCCTTGTAATCAATAAATGCATAGCAATTAACTGTATATATATACTTTATAAGCAAAGATGAATGGCGGCTAACAGTGGAATTCAGTACCCACGTTTCATCTAATTTGGGACTTGTTAGTTTGATATACCTACATCCGAGTGTTGATGTTCACTACAGGACTCGAACCAAGTGGATGTATACATTTAGATACTTAAATATAACTAAGCTGCTTATTTATGCATTAAAGCATTACAGATTATTATCAGAATAAGGAGATTTAGTAAAGGTATCTGTAATTTAATAGTTAAGTTCATGAGTCAATGAAATCTAGATCACCATGGAAAGCCCGGAATCACTGAACGGCAGTTTCGTCTCGTTCTAATATAGGACTGCTCAGCATACTACTGTCTATATTCTACAGGACTTCAATACAACTCAATTCAAGAACACACCATTAGCCACACCAAAAACCGACAACAATCCATCAACAATCATAGTAATAATAAGGGTGACAGACTATAAAACTTATCTAGTAGCTGTTAGACTATCTTATTAGTCTGACAAAGCAAACAATCAATCATTATCATCCTCCCGCACACATCAATCCCATCAAGTAGGAAAAATTATATTTCTGATATTTTTGGACTTAATGTAAGTCACTATTCTAGAGAAGTGGCTCGATTTATTGGAAACTATCAAGTTCTACTTTGCCATTGATACTTACGATGATACCTTACATTGTTATTGATGAAGAAAAGGAATAGTTATCACAAAATGAATATTCTATGGTATCATGTTTTATCCAAATGTTTGAAAGATTTATAATTTAAACATGTCAGTAATACGATATCTCACAGACATCGGTATTCTATCTAAGCCAGTTTATTTTTATGGGTATTTGTTTTATACTTCGAGCAGTGAGCATTCGTAACGTCACCAAGAATCGAATCTATGACATTCAGGTCTCTTTCAGAGAGTTCGATCTTCAGATCACTTCAGTAGTGTCCAATGTGGTTAAAACATAGCTAGTTTAATCACATAGCAATATTGAATAACCATATTTTATAGAGTTTGATGAATGACTGTTTACCAAACCGACATAGCGAAACTTCGCTTGTCAAAGCTTCTTGTTTAGAATGTATCTTAATGGATGCCTGAGATATATATGATAAATCTGAATGGAGAAATAATTTTAATGAAAGACAATAAACATATGAGCTCAATTAAAAGTTTCTTTTCTATATTTTAACACATACTTATTATGAAATGAACAAATTAACATTCATTATGACTATTTTCTCAAGAATTCTAAGGAAATTGTCAAAAAATAGTCAAATATTTTCGCAAAACACGTTAAGGTACTTTTTAAATTTTTAAGTAGTGTAAGAAGTTTTATGTAATTTACTCATCCATAAGGTTACAAGGACTGATAGGTCCTGGGTTCAAATCCCACGTGCCATGGTCGTGGATGCCTACTGTCACTGAGGAATTCCACAATAGGATGAAACGTCCATCCAGTACTTCGAAATTTTCCATAGTAGTCTAGTTTCAATTCACTCACAATCTCAACTATTATAATATAAACATTGAAATTATATAAATAATAACACAATTGTAACAGTATTAACTTACTGGTTTCAAATCACAATGTATAATACCTTGTTTTCTTAATAAACACAAACAATTGAGTAATTTAATTGTGATTTTTTTCAATGAATGAATTGTGAAACCACGAAAATCATTTTTTCTTAAAAGATCATATAAATTTGAACTATATAGATATTCAAAAGATAAATAATACATAAGAGAAATTAGTGTACTTAATATGAATGAATTATGATAAAGGCTATGAGTTATTCAATTGCAAATCTATCGTTATGTTATGCCACCCAAAATACCTTGGTATGAATGAAGGTGGAGAGAGTTAGCTCTCCCTTTAGAAGTGCTCTCACATGGCATCGCATATACAACCACTGACAGAGAAGTCCTACTTACTACCTTCTCGCAAAAAGGGTGTTGTTTACGAAATTGAGAGGGCAAAAAGAGAATGTCTGGGGCTCTAACCAGGTTTGTGGATATGGAGGATCCATCTAGTAAAGTTGGGAAACCCTCATTCCAAACTAGTGGTGCACATGGACTCCAGTATCCTGCGGGAACAAATGGCGTATGAACCAATTATTGGTCACTGTTTACCATGGAACTGCATCTCCTGACGTTGCTCCTCTGGCTTATGGACCAGAGCTTTAGGTCAAAGGTTCCTGGTGTGGATCCCTAGGAAAACCAACTGCTTCGGTCTGGGCACCCGGGCAATATCACAACCCACAAACAAATCAACTGACTTGTGTGGCGCATATTTATTCGATGCCCCTTTGTACCAATGTTTATGTGTTCAAATAAATAAGTAAATATATAAAATGATGTATGGTATCACTTCACTGAAGATCAAACGAACAATGTTCACCCATGTGGAGTATGAGGCAGTGAAAGGTCGTTATTCAATATCTTCAGTTAACTCAAGTCAAACAAGTAAGGGATTAAAGTTCACTTCATTGATCTAAAGTTGACACTCGAAATTTCTGTGTTTAATCTCTGGTTGAATTTAAGATATAAATATTTGAAGAGTTCTCTATTATAATGGAGAAGATACTCAGTATTTCCTAGTTTCCAGTGATACTCTAATTTAATTTAATGAATGAATAGAAAGTCAAGTTTATGATGAAGTTTTGTTCTCTGAGCTGGATGGTTTAGTCATGGAGCTTTCATCGTTCTTCTGAATGATAAACATCATCCAGCTGAGAGAACAAAACTTCATTGAAATCATCCACCTGAGCTATAAATCTTCTCTACCATCTCAAAGTCAAGTTTGTATTTCTGAACGAGTTCTTATTAAAATATCATGACTAACAAGGAAATAATAAGTAGTTATAAGGAATTATTCATTTACATTTCGAAGATGAAATGTTACGGTAGTCATTACTAGGTTCAATCTTCTAAATGGTCAAATATGTGTGTTCATTAAGTTAAGTATAAAACTAGAATATTTCTTCGCCAATGTTTCTATAATCCCGCTGTTAATATTTAAGATGATATTGAAGAAATCCTCACCGGAAGTGGAGATCAAAAATCCAATCCTGATTATCATGAAGATGCCACAGGTATTCGGAGTTTGACAACGCTTTAACCAGTAACACCTTTGAATATGAATCGTACCCACCAAGTGAAATCAAAAGACGGAAGCGAGAAGGTTCGAAGATATATTTGATAAGCTATCAATATATTGAGGATCGTTTGATCTAATCTGGCTAACGATTGCAGAGGTTGTTGAGCACGGCGTTCTCACTCATGATCTGATGCGGATGCATGACCGAGCGCCTTCAGCTAGGTGAGTCCATTAAAACTAATGTGATCAGCATCCAATGTCGAAAACGTACAGAGCTATTTATTTTGAGGATTTATTTACCGCTACAATCAACAACGGAGATAACTCAAACCCTGGGAAATAACAACTTAAACATCATATGTGTGGAACAAGTTAATGGCTTTATAAAATCACAACGTTAAGCTTATGAAGTGAAAAATACCGAATGCGAGTCCCAATATGAATATCAACATCGACACATATATATACATCGTCTAGACCATGAGGCCAACTAGACCGTTTTATCTCTTAATTGATGATAACTCAAGGAAAGTTAAAAGATTCTTTGAAGCGTAAGACTTTGGTAGTGCAGCAATCAATAGATATATTGACATTGACCTGATCTATCAACTAATAAGGAAAAAAATTTAAAAAAACACCAAGGTAACAGATCAGGTCAGAGGGGAAAATTATCGGGACAAACGCGTGCACAACGGCCATACACAATTATGGTCGGCAGAATACAAACAATCAGTTAATGATAGAGAAATTCTAATTACTCACTTCTTATAGAAGTGTATGCTGCTTATATTATCTAGAGGAACAGGATAAGATTCACGACCAAACTATCCTGTTCAAAGAATGAAGCACTCTCGAAATCTTCAACCTGAGCTACAAACATACTACAGTATCAGAAGGGGGTTTTGTGGAGGTTCTAGTAATTTAATAGTTGAATTTATGAGTCAATTAAAGCTAGACCATTATGGGAAACCTGGAAGCACTGAACGGCCGTTTCGTCCTAGTATGGGACTTCTCAGTAGTGTGCGTCGATGATCTCACACGCGGGACTCCAACTTGGGACATTCGGTCTCGCGTGCGAACGCTTGAACTCTAGACTACTGGGTCGGAAATCAACGGTGTTAATGTCTAGCTTCAACCAATCCACGAAATTACACCACCGTCTATCATTGTCTTCAATGAGTTACTATCTCATAAAAGACCTAGTTGAACTCCACTGATTACGGCTTCTCACTAGAACTTCAATATCTCAGAAACTTCTAGCCGTTTAATAAACTCACACACACATACATACAAAGAAACATGTTATAGACAAGTTGACCATTAACTTACCCTAATAAGTCGAAAACAATGCACAAATGATTTCGGAATGTAAAATGATCTCTAATATGTATAATATTATGAATGTTTTTATAATCAGCTTTTTTTAAATTCTCTAAAATGGCTACTTCCACTTGAGCTTGCTGATGAAATCTAAATAATAAAACAAAACATCAGAATGAACATATCAGTAGTATTGAGTGAATTTGAGATAATTATTGAATTGTATGGTTTATATCATTACTTACTTACTCCTGTTACCCATCGTGAAGGAGTATAGACCGCCCACAAGAACGCTTCGTTCAACTTTGTACTGGACAATCCTTTCCAGTTATTTCCAGTTGTCATTCATTCGTTTCATGTCTGCTTCCTATTCTTGACGTACTGTGTTCTTCAGCCTTCCTCTTTTCTGTTTCTCTTCACGACTCTAAGTTGGCGTATTCCTTGTGATGCAGTTCCGTGATTTCCATAATCTATGTCCTATCTAATTCCTACGTCCTTTTCTAATTTCCTCTTTAGCTGAGAGTTGGTTTGTTGCTAATGGCCAACGAACATTCAGTACCTTACGTAAACAATTGTTTGGAAATATTTGTACCTTCTTGATGGTGGTTGTGATAGTACTCGAAGTTTCAGCTCCGTACAGTAGAACTGTCTTGACGTTGGTATTGAAGATTCTGACTTTGATATTGGCTGACAGTTGTTTTGAGTTTCTCATGTTCTTCAATTGTTGGAATACTGTCCTTGCTTTACTAATTCTTACATTTACGTCTGTATCCGATCATCCTTGTTCATCAGTTATGCTACCCAGATACGTGAAAGATTCCACATCTTCCAATTTCTCTATTAATCGTGATTGAGTTGGTGTTGTTCGAATAGTGTTTGAGGATCTTGCTTTCTCTTTGCGTATGTTGAGGCCTACAGATGCAAAAGTTGCTGCCACAGTAGTTGTCTTCATATGCACTTGTTGATGTGTATGGGATAGAAGAGTGAGGCCATTTGGAAATTCCAAATCTCCTAAATGATTCCCAGTTGTTCGTTGTATTTCGTGCTTTCCCTCAGATGTCAAGGTCTTCATAATCCAGTCAATTACCAGAAGAAAGAGAGAGAGGGAGTGCAAGTAACCTTGTCTGACTCCGGTCCTCATGTGAAATACGTCTGTTAGCTGTCAGCTGCACCACATTGCACTGTAGTTCATCGTATGAATTCTCAGGTACACAATAGTGTCAAAGAAGTTTCCATAAGGTTATGAACCAATAATAATTGAAAGCAGGGAAGTATCGAATATTTAACATGTCATTGTATGAAGTTAGTCAACAGTGTGTATTCCCGACCACACAGAGGACTCAATCCTAGACATTTATGATCTTGAAGAGAGAAAGAAAGCTTTACTTTTAAAACTTTATATTAAACTACAGTGACATCATTAAAACAATTACAATCTAATAGGTATGGACTTGTGGAGATCAATAAAATTCATTGAAATAACTAACCGATTTAAGTAAGATAATCATTGGACAGCTATTTCATCCATGTATTGGATTGCTTAGCAGTACGCATCCACAACCCACAATCGGGAGTTGAACCAATGATCTTCAGTCACACATACAAATGCCGAACATCTCAATTATGATCGGTTAGTCATTTTAATACAATTTAACAGTCTCCACAACGTTATATTGAGAAATAGAGTTGTTAAGGCAAGACATTTAAGTAGTATGAGAAGGGAAAGGTGTAACTGGGAGTAGTGTTGTTGTTTTTGTAATGACAGAGTTATGTCAATAGTAGTAGTCAAGAAATCTAAGCGGAAACATCAACTCTGATAACAAACATAATAAATTGTATGTAGTACGATAGTGTGAATTTATCCATTCATCTCACAACCTTCAATAAGTCTTCAGTATGGTAGTATTATCGAGTGTTCTCTCGATCATTTAATGAATGAGTCTTGTATGTTGGAGTATCATTTTAACTTGAAAATTTAATCCTAAACACTTGCAGGTTTCCACAGATTCGTCTACCATGAACGATCAACGAAACGAATCTCAATACACCAAATAAAAGGCACCAATCCATAGAAAGTCCCTGCATAGAATGAAGTCTCTAGTGAAAATTATGCTCTTACATTCTGCATACACCAACTAAATAAACAAAGACCTGTTGGAAAATGCTTGATATTTCACACGTATTAAACATTGGAAAAGAGATAATGCAAACTCTTCTGTAAATCATGGTCCTCATTTACAAATGTAAGAGACAGGAATCTGACAAATCCTTTTTGTATGCTCAACGAAAGTCTGAAATTACAGTTGACCAAAGCTAATTTGATGTAAACTAGGTTGGTATTGTAGGGTCAGTGAAATGTTATTGAGCCTTAGCCAAATGATCCGGTAGTTGGGTCACTGAATATTGAACAGATCATCGATTCGTGTCAAGGTCAAGAACAACCAACGCGCATCAACTAATTGCACACCATGGACTGACCCATGAGGTGGTGGTTGCAACTGCTTCCTTGTATCTACCTTTACTAATACATTGTTGTAATGACGTCTTTCGTGTTATACAGTCTTCAAAGCAGCCATCCTACCTTGATACAACGAAGAGGTAATCCATGTTAGGTGCTGATCATGAGGTGTTACTTTGAAGTTGGCTTTTAGTCACACCATTTCCGTCTAACTTGAGTAGGCCCTCAATCATTCGACATAGATCATCTGAGTTAGTGATCTAAAGTATATTTGATTGCATTCTGTAAATGATGTCAAAGGATAAGGTGGATGTTGAATGTTCTATGTCTATCACATGTTGAAGAGTCGACTATATAATTGACATTTGTTAAACCATGCTGTTAGATACTACCGAATGTGTTGTGACAGTAGCCTTGACGATTGACCTACCTATTTAGCTCTACATGAGCAGGTAAATTGAACATTAGTTTGTCAATATATCTGTACGATTGTACTATTCTGAAAGTGAACTTATCACATAGGATTCTTTCAAGATGGACAAATTATTTTATCGCATTACTTTTTTGTCACATTAAGTATCTTACCGCTTTTTATTTCGAATAATTTTTATTGCAACTGGAAATCCTGATTTATGATCAATAGCTCGTATCACTCGACCAAATGAACCTTTACCCAAAGTTTCCAATGTTTGAAATCTATAAGCGATATGATCATGGGTTATCTGAAAGAGAGAAATATATGTATATTACAAACAAGAGTTAAATTATTACAATATGATAGAATCATATAGCATATAAGACTATTGTTCAGAAAACTTAAAGCATTAGATATGGATTTATTAGTTTAAAGATTAAACTTTCAGCGGTCTTGAGTGCTGTTAGAGGTATGAGGGCGGTTATCACTTTCCGGTTGCCCATACCGTGGAAGGATTCTTCTGAAGGCACCTGAAAAGGGAATTGGATTTGAGGTGGTCTTAGTGACCTGAAAGCGTGACAGCAGTGCTCAAGGAATAGTTGCTTGAGGTCGGTTACATACGACCTTTTTATGAGTAATTTTCAGGTTAGCTCTGTATTTGTTGAGACCTTACTGCCGGAGACGGATATCCGTGGGATAAGGCGAGGGGCTCGACCTTTTCTAACCCCACCCCTCCTTGTGGGAAGGCACCATCGCTGTTATACTGGTTTTCTGGACGAAACATCTTACTGCCGTTACACTTCTGTACAGTCAGCAGAACGACTTCGCCTCCGGACCTTGGGTTCGCTGTTTTTAGTCTTAACGTCCTTCAACCGACCTATCTGATATGGTACGACGCTGAAGAACGGTTGTTCCAGCCAGTATAGCTCGATTGGTTCATCACGATAAGAAAGCCCGACCACCACATCAGGTTATCAACAATGGTCGAGCTTTAGATGTCCTTATTCAATTCTTCGTATGTATATTGATGAGGAGTTTCGTAGTAGGATAAAACACTTGTCCCGTGTTTCCTGACATTAAATAACTTTCACTGTTATAAAAAATAAAATTCATAACACTTACCTACTAAACTTCGCCTGTAACGTTTCTAGGGTTACTTTCAATCAACTGACAATAATTTTAAACTGATTTCACACTTATTTCATCTCTGAATAATGTGTGTTAAGCAATTCAAGATTGATAATCTCAAGCCTTATTCTACAGTTCATGGTAATTTTCCTATCGAACTGTCAGTTTACCCTCACAAGTCTATTAATAATGTTGATTTGAAAACATTAGTTCTATTCGGTTGAACTATAATATGGAAGCTTAGCGGTTGTCTCCTTAAAGCTTGGAATGAAAAGTGTGCGTATCTATGGATCAATAGGAGCGAATCCTATGTTAGTCCAAGGTAAATCATTACTGATCAAGGCTCGAGGAACTAGGCTGAAGAAAGAATAGTGGATACGGTTGGAAGAACCATTATCGAAATACTGATTGGAAAACTTACCAGACGATATCAATCAAATCACTCAGATATAAAAGTAGTCAACATAACAATTTCACTTCTTCTTAGAAAAGTTTCAGATTGAATATCATTCAAGTTATGGTTGAAAGTGAAAGTAAATATGATTAGTAACTTAATATGGACAAACAGGCACTCAACTGAATCACCTTTAAATATGTGATTTCTTTATTTCATATTGATTTCTAGTCTGGCCTCATTGAGAATGACTACTTGTAATTGTGTTTAATGGAGTATTGTCTAGCGTTACTCTGATTTATTATTGTGGTCGTGAATCGCGTATCTGATATAATCTGATTCTGTTTTCTTATAGAGGGTCGTTTAGGTATCCAATCTAGTGGTATCATAAAATCAGTCACTCAGATCAGCCTTATTACCACATCAACGTGGTAGCTTAGTACTTCACAGAAAGAAACATTTAAATCCATCCGCTATATCACCAAACTTTGTTAGACATACAGAATCCGCAGAATCTCAAATGCTGGAAAATCAATACGTGTTGATACAGAAACCGAACTGTTGTTCATTAATGTTTACACTAGCTGACTTTGTCATTATAAAGATAGGATAAGTTTCGGAGTAGAATATTGAGATGAGGATTACTACATTCCATAACTGGATTTATGGGTCATCAACGATGTCTTGACTGTTATCAATTTATAACCAGCAATGTTTTAACTATCTCATCTTTCTAAGAATGAAGGAAGAACCATGAGTAAAAATAGGATACAACCTGTATAAAGTAGCTTCTAAACAATCCGGAAAGCATATATATATATATATATATATATATATATATATATATATATATATATATATATATATATATATATAGCGTTTTCAGTCATTTCATTATCGTTTTTTCACTCCAGTATCACTCAAATCAAACAAACAAATATCTCAGATGGGTTTTGTGGAGATTGTAGTAATTTTAATGGTTAAGATCGTGAGTCAGTTGAAGCTAGACCACCAAACATATGCTGAACATATGCTCACTAGTGACTGGCTTCACAAGGTATATCCTGGAGTTCTAGTGAAAAGTAGTGACCAGTAGAGTTCAACCAGGTCTGTTGTAAGATAGTAACTCACTGAAGACAATGATGAATGTGTCGCTCAATTTCGTGGATTAGTTGAAGTTAGACATTAACACCGCTGAATGCTCAATCAGTGATCTAGAGGTTAAGCATCCGCGCGCATAACAGAAGGCTTTGGGTTCAAATCTCGTGAGCGGGATTGTGGATGCGCACTTCTAAGGTGCCTCACAATAGGACGAAACGGCCGTCCAGTGCTTCCAGGTTTTCAATAGTAGTCTAATATCAATCGGTTCATGATCTCAATCAAAAACCCAATAATCTCCACAACTTTATACTGATGATAGTACGATACTGTATGTAATACAAAGTGTTTATAAATCAAGTCCACATTAGTTATTTAAGCATTTAACAAAATGAAAATTTAACACTTGAATGAATTAATAAGTTTGATCCATCAAAGGTCGTTCGATCAATAAATCACGAATATATTGATTTCATCATGTACTTAATTAAACTATATTGATTTGTCATATGGAAATAATGGATAGTAATTAGGAAACAATTGATAATAGTGATATGGAATGACAATAAGAAGTAGCCTAATGAAAAACGTCAATCCATAGCAATTAGAAATGATTTAAAGGTTAAATGAACGACATTGAGGTCAAAATGGGACAACTTCCTAAGGATAGGCTGGTATATGTATATGAATGAGTATATGTGCATTTTATCTGGTAGTCAATTGCATTTTCTCGTTCAGTCTTGTGTTCTCATCCACGTAATCAGTTGGTGGGGGGGACTTGGTGGTTAGTGATTATCAGTTTTCGAATACCGCACATCACAACAGATAAGGCAACAGTGGATTTATTTCAATATAATTACACATTTATTCAAATTGAGTTTATCACAATAATGTTTGGTTAATACTTCGGTATAGAATGATTCTCATGATCCAACTTCAGTGTTTCACTAAAGCTTTACTGTATTGAATGAGAACACAAAATGACAGAATATCTTAGCAAAATCTGAGAACCCTACAGTACATACTTCATTTTCAAAATGTAAACCAGTTATCTCAGAGTTCATTAATCATTTATTTCGATAGCAGTCATTCACTGTTCTCGTTCACTTTCCTTCGATCTTCTTAACTTTCTGCCTCCAGGTATTTCACTTTCGATTGATGATACACACTAATTATGTCTGTCGACATCAGTAACACACAAAACACTCGTCCCCACTTTAAAACAGTCATTCTTGTAGTGGTTCTGTTCGCCGTGCAACTTTCTTCTTCTCTGTTGTCTGTGCAACGCTATCCGCCAAAATGTTGAGTCTACGGTCCGTTGACATTCATAGCTCCGTTGACATGCTGAGCCATCTACATCCGATGTCCGCCCAGTAGCCTCACATCTCATTGCTTCTCTCGTTGACAACACCCGCTGTAGCCCAACGCCTTCCTGCCAGAACACTCCGCTCTATGTCACTTTCCTACATTTCAATGTCCCCTTTGAGTTAAAATCATTAGATAGTTACAAATATTATATATATAAATAATCTATATTACATAACATACTTTTAAATAACCACCAGTTTCATCATCATAACCATGATTACTTGGAGATCCTTGAATGGCATCGATTTTTTGTGCAGATAAACCAAGATACCAGATTTTGTTAAAGTTCAATATTTCCTCCTTTTCATATGATGTTAATTTCTTGCCATATATATTTAATGCAGCTGAAATTCATTTAAATATAATGAATAATAATAATAATAAGAGGGTAAAATGTAGATAGAGTTTTGTTTTCTAAATTGAATGGTTTGGTTATTAAACTTTCATTGTTCTTAATTACTTACTTACTTTTGCCTGTCACTCGTAATGGAGCAAAGGCCGCAGACCAGCATTCTCCAAACCACTATGTTCTGGGTCTTCTTTTCTAATTCCATCCAATTCCTGTTCATTTTCCCCATGTCTATCTCCATTTCCCGGCGTAATGTGTTCTTTGGTCTTCCTCTTCTCCTTTGACCTTGAGGATACCAAGTGACGAGGGCTTAACTTGTGACGCAGTTGGATGCTTTCCTCAATGTGTGTCCTAACCACTTCTAGCGCTTCTTCCTGATTTCTTCCTCCACTGGGATCTGGTTTGTTCTTTTCCACAGTAGGTTGTTGCTAATAGTGTCCGGTCAACGGATCCGGAATATTTTGCGTAGACAGCTGTTAATCAAAAATTATTCAAACCTTTAAACTTTCGTTGTTCACCTGAATAATTTCATCAGTATAAACTTCAAGTAGAAGTAAAATGTTCAAATTTCTCTACATATATGACTCACAAATTGTCCTGTCAACGTTGATCTTGATTGATTATTGTTGATCTTTAATCTGTCTTTACTATGATTGTATCTCTTATTGTTTTGATTCTTGATGATTATGTTGTTTATAAGAACAATAAAAGCTCCATGATCAAACTATCCAGATCATAGAACAAAACTCTATTTACATTATCTATCAGAGATATAAATCTTCTTCACTATCTCAAAATGGAAAGATCTATTAATGATTAACTGAAGGATATATTTCTAACTTCAGTCAATTGAAAACTAACATCCATTGCTTTAAAAGGACCAAAGGTTTTGCGTTCGGCTCCTGGATGCGTGGTCGATAATATGTACTCATAAATGAATTCATACTAGGACAAAACGGTCACCCAGTTTCTTCAGGTCTTCAATGGGGATCTAGTTTGCAAACGCAACAACAAATGCAGGAGAAGACGACTAACGCGGCAGTAGCCTCAGAAGCAGTAGGTCTCAATATACACAAAGGGAAAAGCAAAATCCTCCGATACAACACAACATACACCAATCTAATCACAATTGACGGAGAAGATTCGGAAGATGTAAAAGCCTTTACATATTTGGGTAACATCATTAATGAACATGGTGGATTTGGTGCAGATGTGAAAGCGCGGATCGGCAAATCAAGAGCAACATATTTGCAACTGAAGAACATCTGGAACGCGAAACAACTGTTAACCAACACCAAAGTCAGGATTTTCAATACAAATGTCAAGACAGTTCTACTATATGGGGCGAAAACCTGGAGAACTACGAAAGCCATCATCCAGTAGATAAAAGTGTTTATTAACAGTTGTCTACACGAAATACTTCGGATTCATTGGCCGGACACTATTAGCAACAACCTACTATGGGAGAGAACAAACCAGACCTCAGTGGAGGAAGAAATCAGGAAGAAGTGCTGGAAGTGGATAGGACACATAATGAGGAAAACACCGAACTGCATCACAAGGCAAGCCCTCATCACTTGGAATCCTCAAGGTCAAAGGAGAATAGGGAGACCAAAGAAAACATTACACCGGGAAATAGAGATCGACATGAGAAAGATGAACAAGAATTGGATGGAATTAGAAAAGAAGGCCCAGGACAGAGTGGGCTGGAGAATGCTGGTCGGCGGCCTTTGCTCCATTAGGAGTAACAGGCGTAAGTAAATAAGTAAGTAAGTTCAGATCAGTTAGTGCTTTAAAATATGAATACACTCTCCACAAATCCCTCACACAATAATATTTATTTGTTACACACATTTATTATAATAAAATAAAGCTAGACATTTTTAGTATCAGGATATAAAATGATTGGAGATAGTTTGGGAAACACTTTGTATTGACCGAAGTCCCCTGATAGCTGGAACTCATCACCCAAGTTGTACCTGCTATCTTGAGGAAACTAATGTTATCCCTACTGTGAGATTACAGTCACTTTAAGAAAATATAGTGCATACAATGTCAACTCTGACAAGTTGCCATAGATACAAGTTGATTCATAGACTTTTCAACAACATTGAAAAACTGGGCAAAAATGACATTGGTCAATGTGGTGTGTGCTACTGATGTCGATAGATATAAGTAGTGTGTATCATCAATCGAAAGTGGAATGTCTGATGAAAGAAACTTGAGAAGAGAACAAGAACACAGAGCGATTGGTATAGAAATGAAGGAACAGTGTTGTCTAAGACGATTGATTGACGCTTTGTAAGTAAAGTATTTACTGTATGGTTCTCGGATTCTATCAATAGGTTCTGTAATTTTTTTATTCACATACGTGTGGTTGTTCCGAACTTGTGTTCTCGTTCACTACAATCATTAGTGCGTGATCATTCAATTTAGAGATATACATTAATCAGAATGTCAGTTTTACTGAATTTTTAAAATGGTGATCGGAGGTAGTCAAAAGGAAACTCTGAACCTGTTTCGTGCTACTATGCAATCGTCAGCATGGTGTACCTGTAATCTTCAAGGAACTGATGCTCTCTGACAGATTTGATCCCGTTTTACCCAGCTTCACAGTTAGAGACGTTACCATTGGGTAATAAGAAAGACCTGACACACATGTCACTGATAACCATCTAGTGATCAATCAACTATCAATACATATCAGTCCTACAGGAAGTCAGTCGCGCCCCGGTTAGCCCAGTGGTAACGTCTCTGACTGAGAAGCTAGGTGAAACGGGATCAAATCCATCAAGATTACAGGTACACCATGCTGACGACTGCCAAGTAGCACGAAACCTAGTTCCAGGGTTTCCTGTTGACTACCTCCAACCAGATCATCTTATCTTTAACATAGTGCACATAATGTCGAGTCACCTAGACTAGTAGCCACATTACAATTTGATCGATAAGATTTGATCTGTACTAAGAAAAGAAGGACCTGACATACATAGTCATTGATCATCATTCAGTGATCAATCAATTATAAACTAAATTTTTAAACATGAAACTACATGAAAAATTCTATTCCTAGTTTGTTTGTATTTTTTGTTCTTTTTTTAGTAAATCACATGGATACATCATGCAGTTTTAACAATATTTTTTTCTTGTTTTAGTTAGTTGGAAAAATCTAGATGATCTAGGAGTTTTTAAGTTGGACTTTGTATTCGTTGAATTAAATGTGTAAATTCACTCAGTATTGTTTAGATGTTGTTTGGAGGTAGTCGACAGGAAACCCTGGACCCGGGTTTCGTGCTACTTGGCACTCGTCAGCAAAGTGTATCTGTAATCTTGAAAGAACTGGTGCTCTCTGACGGATTCGATCCTGTGTCACCCAGATTCACAGTCAGAGACGTTACCACTGAGCTATCCGGGCAGCGACCGACCTCCCTGTAGGACTGAGATGTAATCACAATTGATTGTTTGTTTAAATCTTCACATTGATATTCAGGATCTCAACTGATCAATCTCTTATTGGCATATGTGGCTATCTCAGAACTTAGTAACTAAGTGGATAACTCAATGGCGTTTGAAAAGAATGATATTGAGTTCAAGTTCTAGAGTGAACATCCACTCTGAGATACAGGTATATCCAGCTGACAAGTTTTAAATAAGATGAAGCGTACTTCAAATTTGATCCCACTACTAGTCACTATCCATCACAATTGATTGATCACTGGGTGGTGATCAATAATTGTGTATGTCAGGTGACACGGGATCGGATCCGCCAGGGAGCACCAGTTCCCTCAAGATTACAGGTACACCTTGCCGGCAAGTGCCAAGTAGCATGAAACCCGGGTCCAGGGTTTCCTGTCAACTACCTCCAACCACCATCTAGTTACTATCCATATTTGCTTAATAATAATAATCATCATCATCTATATTATTAACTTACTATGTGGTGTCATTGGTATATTAATTTTTCCATTAAATTTTATTAATTCATTATCATTTTGTTGTTGATTATTATTTAATTTTTGTGATTCAATTAATATTGATTTTTCTTTGAATTTATCCTTTATTACATCATCGGTACATAATTGATTACCATTACTATTATTGTTATTATTATTATTATTATTATTAGTAGTAGTAGTAGTAGTAGTATTAGTATTATTATTATTAGTAGTATGTAATGGTATAATTAATTCATGATTTGAAATATCTTTCAACTGTATTCCATTATCATAATCACTATGATGAGTGCATTGTTGACTTTGTTGATATCGTCTTGATGATGATAATGATGGTGTATATTCATTAGGTTGATTGGTTTTTAAAGAGAGATTATCCTTTGATTGTTGAATCACATTTGACCCATTCATAATTGTTGTTGTTGTTGTTGCTGGGGCTTTTTCATTTAAATATAATTTAGTATCTGGGTATTTTGTTATAAAATGTTGTGTATTTTGAATAGATAATAATGATGATAAGGGTGTATCATTTGTATCTGATTGTAATTGATTGAATTTACATTTGATTGTTTTATTGAAATCATCCATTGAATCATTATTCGATTGTATGAGAGATTTGGTATTTTTAACCTTTTTATTATTACTATTAGTAGTAGTAGTAGTAGTATTAGTAGTATTATTAGTAGTATTATTATTGTGTATTGAAGAAATTCGATTTGAGCTTAGAAGTGAATTATCAAGTGAAAATTTAGACTTGGCTTCAGGTAAACTAAAAATTTCAGTTTGTTCCATTGGTCCCGTATCGAATTGACAGTGTAACTTGAAAACAAAAAAACACAACAAGAAAGAAACACACAATAATGTCATGAGTATGGCATAACTTCATAGTTTCAAATATTGAGTAGTTGTTATTATTAGAGATATATGTATAGTTAATCGAGTATGAGATCGAAGGTCCTGAGTTCGAGTCCCTTTCATGAGGGATCATGGATTCGCACTAATGAGGAGTCGTCCCATAATAAAACGAATTGGTCGTCCAGTGCTTCCAAGTTTTCAATGATGGTCTAACATCAATCGGTTCATGATCTCAATTAAAAAACTTAATAATCTCCATAAACCTATCTTGATGATTACCGGGCAGTTGTTATTGTTAAAAATAATATATTTCTTCGAGTATGGGACAGAAAACCCTGCGTTCAAGTTCCTTTAGTGAGGGATCATGGATGCGCATTCATAAGGAGTCCCATAATAAAATGAATTGGCCGTTCAAAGCTTCCAGCTTTTAAATGATGATCTAGCTTACATCGACTCATGAATTGAACTAATAAAATAAATTATTTCTCTGAAGAAGTGGCTTAAACTGAGTTAAGAAACGTCAGAAAATTATTCGAAAGACTAAACAGTCGTACATTGGATAATATGGAAGAAGAAATAACAAACTGTTTTGATGAAAGGTCGGCATTATAGTAGTCATGTAACAATCAATAGAGAGGAACATGAAAACCTTAATTCTCGTATCGGTTATAAAATAGTTAATTCTTAGATGCTCGGTGAATGTTCACTTTTGTAGACAATTGAATATTGTATCTATGAAGTCACCATTGGACTCTTTTTTGATAGAATTTCTTCTTGTAGAACTGAAAAATGGATTACCTCTTTTATGTTACCAAATTCGATACAAAGAAGTTTACATTCCTTATGTTTGGAACATTTGTGAATGATCTTAGTATTATCATAAAGGGGTTTTTATGGATATTACAGCACCTTAATAGTTGAGTTCATGAGTTAATTGAGGCTAGACTACCATGGGAAGCCTAGAAGCACTGAACGGCCATTAGTCCCTAGTATGAGACTCCTCAACAGTGTGCATCCACGATCTTGCACGCGGAATTCAGACCCAGGACCTATTGGTCTCTCGTGCGAACACCTAACGTCTAGACCATTGACCCGGCATCCAACGGTGTTAATGTCTAACCTCAACCAATCCACGAAATTGCGCCACCATCTTCTATTGTACTGAAGTTTTCAATGGTGGTCTAACATCAATCTCTACAACCCTATACTGATAAACAAAGTTTTAATTGTTATTTAGTTAAACAATCAGGGAAGTTGACAATTAGACGGTTTAGATTCTTTAATCAGTTCATTCATGTTTATTGAATTAAAACAATGACTTACATTGATACTGGTATCAATCATTTCATCAATGAAATTCATTTAGACATTTTAAAGTTAACTCTCTAACTGTAAGTTTTGGATTCATTATCCATAGAATGACGCTTATTGAACATTTTCAACCTGATGATTTACCGAAATTTGATTCTGGCCATATCCTAACAGTATTAGCTTCAATCGACTAAACTTGTTGAGATATATAATTATATATGCTTCATTATTAGTCAAATCGAAGTACATTATTTATTGGTATAAGGTTTGAGTGGATGAAAGATAAAGGAGAGTAAATCAAAACGTGAAGTCACTTGTTGACCATTGGTTTGAGTCATGGAGGTAAGTAAAGACTGTTAGAATTGAGTTAAACGGTTAGAAACGTTAGATGATATGGCTAATCACAATTGATTACTCACTGGGTGGTGAACGATGTCATGTGTGTCAAGTCCTTATTATTAGTGTACATCGAATGCTATCGATCATGTTGTAATGTGGTCACCAATCTAGGTGACTCGACACTGCGGGCGTTATATATTGAGATTAGATGGTGGTTGGAGGTAGTCGACAGGAAACTGTGGCTAAAAATCAGTTCAAATTCGATAGATGTATTCAAACATTATTATCATAAACATTTTACTCTTTCATTCTATGTTGTTCAGCTAAGTTTTTAATGTTTAATCTTCCACAACATAATTTATTTCTACTTCTGTGATATTCATTCTATTGAATATTCCTTTGAAAAAAAACTCATTGTGACAGTGGTTTTTCTTCACAGACTGATCTCATTTAAGGTACCAATACAAAAAAACTATAAAATGCTGGATAGTTGTTTTGTCCTAGTAAGGCACTTTTCAACTTTCTTGACTCAGTGTTTTATTACTTATTTATGTCTGTTACTCCCAATGGTCATAGGCCTCCGACCAGCATTCTGCAAACCACTACGTCATGGGCACTCCTTTCCAGTTTCATCCATTTTTTGTTCATTTTCCTCATGTCTGTCTCTGTTTCTCGACGTGATGTATTCTTTGGTCTTCCTCTTCTCCTTTGGCTTTGAGGATTTCATGTGAGCGTTTGTCTTGTGACGCAGTTGGATGCTTTCCTCAATGTGTGTCCTATCCACTTCCAGCACTTCTTCCTGATTTCTTCCTCCACTGGGATCTGGTTTGTTCTTTCCCCCAGTACGTTGTTGCTAATAGTGTCCGGCCAGCGGATCCGAAGTATTTCGTGTAGACAACTGTTAATAAACACTTGTATCTTCTGGATGATGGCTTTCGTAGTTCTGCAGATTTCCACCCCATAAAGTAGAACATATATCAATATATAGAAACATCAAAAAACGACACAACAACTAATTCAATCGATTATAAACTTACCACTTTATTTGATGGTAAATATTGATTAATCAATGGACAATGATTCACTATAGCACTAAATGACATTCCTTTTGATTGTTGTTGTTGTTGTTGTTCTATTCTTCGTCTACCAGTAATAAAGGGTTTTGTATGATTGAATGCTTTTTCACGAAACCAAAATCCTCCTCCTCCTAATTTATTATGATGATGAGGATTCAGTAAACCCATTTTACGTTTTAATTCTTGATCAGATTTCCAATTTTTCATTGTTAATAAATTCCAATTTGTTGATAAAATTTCATCACATTTTGTACGATTTGAATTCATAGCAACTTTTGGTAACCAACAAGTGGATTGTATTGAATCTTGCCAATGATTATGATTATTGATTAATAGATCATTATTATTATTGATAGCTTGATCACGTTGACTATGACATGGATTACTTAGATCATCATCATCATCATCATCATGAACATCATCATTATCATTGTCATTATTACTACTACTTATACATAGATCATGTTGTAATGTTTGTGAATCATTTACATGGATTTCATTAAGTCCTATTAATGGTGGAACTAATTTGGATAGATGTTTTGTTGATGAGATCAAATGATCTGATAGATTGTCAACTGAACTATTCGTTGTAGTAATCGAAGAAGTTGTACCAGCAGTAGTAGTTGTAGTGATATTTATCGATTTCGATTTGTCATTTTGATCAATTTCATAATGAATAGATCGAGTTAATAATGGATTATGATTACTATCAGTGCTGTTAGTAGTAGTAGTAGTAGTATTTAATACTTGTGATTTCGATGTATTTAAATCGGAATTTTGTATTAACAATGATTGTCTTTGATTTCGTTGATACGTCTGATGACGATGTTGTTGTTGAAGACTATTAGTACTATTACTATTACTATTACTGTTACTATGATTCTCCAAAGTGATATATTTTACAAATGAATTCTCTTGTCTATAGGATGGTAATACATATTTATTCAATGATAAATTATCTTGTGAACGTAATCCCTGGATATATAAATAGAATGAAACAAGAATGAAATAAGAGGATGAAATATGTAGAGATTGTTGGTTACTGTGTGTGTGTGTATGTGTGTGTCTATTTTTAAGTATCCAAGACTACCAAATAATACCCACATGTATCTATCTATCTATCTATCTATCTATATAGGTGTGTATGCCGTTAGCAATACATACATGCATACATAGTTTCTCTCATGGGCTATTGGAAACAAACTTAAAATCCATGTTTTTTTTTCTAAGAAGAAAAAAAAACTTTCATTTCTTTTTTATATATCAAGTCATGTGAAACTATAAATCACAGGTGCTCCATCTATTCAATAATTAGTCAAACACACATATGTACATAGTTACAAGTACACTATTTAATAGTAGTTCTATAAGTAGTATATGCAAAAGTAGTATTTGTTGTTCCAGTCGTTCTTGTTGTCCGAATCACATTTTTATGTATAGTCTAGTGAAATATAAATGATTTCTAATTGTTAATCATTATGAATTGAGTTAATGGAATTTAATTGAAAATCTAATTATGAAATTCTTTATCGTTCAACAAATATCGATGAGAATACATTCATATTCTAGGATTCGATCATAGGTGTTTTTGAAGCATTGTCCATTTATCCTGGGATCATCGATTAAGTGACGCAGTTGTTAGGAAATGGGTAATAGGTAACGATGGCAAATCCATTGATGAAGTAGTGAAACTTCATCAGTTGAGATGGCTGCTACTCCTTGAATAACATCTTCAAAATCTAATCTTTGAGATTATTGCTTATACTCTTACTACCACTATCATTATGGTATTTTCAATCGACCATTTTATCTGTGTGCAAATGTGTTATGGCAACTCGAACTGATGTACGTATATACGTACGGAGTTCTACGTTGTTGCTGACTGATATTCTAGATTTTCCATTCCCAGTCTGATCCCGATCAACTGTTTATTGCATTAAATATCAATTCATTATAAACTCAGCTACTTTTCGAATACAGCTTTCCAATCTTCATATCGCTCAAACAATCAAAATTAATCGGGGCTATTTACATAGTTTCATATCTATAGCATTATCACCCTTTCAGACATCATATTAGTTATGTAAATGAAACAGTGAAATAAGAAAATGTGAATATTTAAACAAATGAAATACTTGATTTGTTAATAATCTCCACAACTCTAAATATGATGTGCTCACAAGTGACTAACTTCGAGAAGTAATTCTTGGAGATCTAGTGAAACATTATCATCAGTAGAGTTCAATCCATGTCCTGTGTGAGGTAGTTACCCAGTGAAGTTAATGGAAGATAGTCGCACAATAACGTGTATTAGTTGAAGTTAGATATTAAAACAGTTGAATCGTGGCTCATTCATCTAGAAGTAAAGTGTTCACGTACGAAGCCGTAAGTTCTGGGTTCGAGCCCCTTTGGTGTGGCATCGTGGATAAACACTTCTAATGGTTCCTATACTAAAATGAAGAGGCCATTCAGTGCTTTCAGGTCTTAAATGATCTTTTAACGTTGATCGACACATGATCTCAGTTAAAAATCGGCAATCTCCACAATCTTATACTCATCATTTTCGTTATACCCAATGACAATGAATAAAATCTCCTGTAATGGATTTTAGATTAAATACTTTTCTAAAATCTCAATGATTCTTCCCGTTTATATCTTCAGATTAGTGGTAAGAACTACCTGACTTTCGTAATGTGCTATGATGTACAATCCGATTTGGTCATAATGTAGTGGACGAAAACTCAGGTGTGAAAAATCAATTTACCGTCTAATGTGGATTCACACACAGCGGCATCATAAAATATGAAACTCATACATTAAATACATCGTTTGCACATTTTATATGCGTTGCTCTTTACATGGTTCATTATTCCTTTAATTCTGCTGTTATTTTGATTGTTCACTGTTTACCTTCCTGTTCTTTTCATTTCAATCTTCATACAGGGATTCCACTTTCGGTTGGTGCTACATACTACTTATATCTGTCAGTATAAGTAACATACACCACAATAATATAGGAATTCGCTAACGTTCAACCGAGTCAGTTATGTGACTGAGGATTCATAGGAAACTTATGACCAAGACAGGATAATTATGTACGTAAATCATGAGTATATATATATATATATATATATATATATATATATATATATATATATAATCAGTGTTCTCCTCACTGAGTGTCCACTTGTTATGGGTACCAGTGATATACTCGAAAGAATTATGAGATCTATCTTAGGATATCAGAATGAAGTGCGCATGGTGAATAGAAATTACAGTCACAGAAAAATTCACAACATGATTTTGTTTTTTTTCATCAAAGGTATACCATAATATAACATATTCATTGACTACATGAACGTAAATATGACTGTTATTTCAGTCTACGATACGCTTAGTATTATAAGCAAAGATAGATAGCGGCTGGCAGTAGAATCCAGTTTGACGCACGTTTCGTCCTACTTGTGACTCGACAGCTGGATTTACTTGCATCAGAGTTGGTGCTTATAATGCTTTTGGATTAAGGCAATATTGAGACGATCCGTATAGGATACACATACACCAATAGAGATTGATCAAAAATCAATGGGAAGATTTAAAGAAACAATACAAAAATGAATTGAAACTTCACCCCATTGCACAAGCTAGTAGCTATGTGGACTCATTAACTAAGTGGATAGCGCGATGGCGTTTGAAGCGAACGTTACTGAGTTTCAGTCCCGACTTGAACGTCAACTCTGGGATTCACGTACATCCAGTTGACGAGTCCAAAATAGGACGAAACGCGTGTGCTTGATACCACTGCTAGCCACCATTCATCTCTAACTTTGTTGTTTGTCAGAACTGTCACTTAATAACAAAATTTAAAATTTAATAATTAAAGACCGTCCTATTAAATATTCTTTCATAGATTAGTCTAATACTGGTGTTCGACACATTCAACTGACAAGGAATCCTTACGAAATAAATATCACCTAAGCAGAATGAATATGACCATGTTAACCACTGACTTCTTTTACATATGCGTTTTACGTTTGTACTACATTTATATTATAAGACAGATCTTTTCAGAAGTAATTTTGGCATGAACAATATTTAGGACTCCTATCTTGATACAAACCAGCTGCCTAGTTCTTCTTGGTTTTCAATAATATACAAACTGAGATCAATCCGTGATGAACGGTAACTACAGATTTAATGAGTCCATATAAAATACCTTAGTTATGATCGATAATGGATGAAAAGTATCTCAGGTTATTTACTGACCAATTCATTTAAGGCTTAATGTTTTAAACAAGCTAAGTTAAGTATCTGTATTTTATTAAAGAACAGAAGAGAAGTGGTTTATCACTACTGGAAATCCGTAGCTCAAAGTTTAACTCTATGGTATTCGAAATAATGTGTACCAGTTTAGTGATTTTGCTAGGGTTGAGGCTATCACGAGTTCACTTAATCTGCTCGGTGACCAAAGACCAGTAAGTTAGCTATTGATGCGTCCCAGCCCTGCTGACTAGAGGGTGAAGTCCAAGCTTGGAATGGGAAAGTATATTCTACAAACAACCAAAAACGAGCGATAACGACAAACACAATTCAAAACGTATATATACAGCACAAAACCGTCTTTGGCAAGAGTTACCAAATAGCATACTAAAATACGCAACGGACCAATAGCATTTAAGATATGTTTCCCAGTGGGAAATACGACATGAAGGTGACAAGAGCGTCTTTGGCGCGAAAACAATAAATAAAATTACAAAATTAGGTCCTTTTGCAAGTGAGTTTTGGGGATCTAACATCCCCAACAGATTTATTGTCAACGTATATCATACATTTGGTATAAAGGATTAATGGAGACTGTTGAATTTTATGGTTTACATCACAGACCAATTTTAACTGTACAACTATTAAAATCTATGAAGAGTTGGAAAGTTCTTTCCTTTTAGTTAAGGATTCCTCGACAGCAACTATGTAAATTCTACCAGAGTTCGAAGCTTAAGATCAGTCAGTGATATCAACCATAAAATTTGATTGTCTCCACAAACCCTTTATAGTGGGAACAGTTATGTATGCTCTAGTAACTAATTTTAAAAAAAATTCTTAGAGTTCAAGTAGGAAGCCATAACTAGTGGGTTTCACTCATGTCCGGTATAAGACAATTACATGGAAACCGAATTGTGAGATGATTGCACAATATCAAAGATTTATTCAAGTTAGACAACCAACTCACTAGTCTAATTGTTAAACATTCATTGACTTAGAAAACGTTGTCAACTATATCACCCGTTTGCATAGTGAAACTCTTCTAATCTGTTAAGCAATAGTAAGAAAGGTGTTGCAACAAACAGATGTCTTAGAAATATTACCAGCATCTGCTGGGATCACCGTATAGATAATAATGAGTTTATATGCATGGTATTAGGGAGTGAAGGAAAATCAGTTGATGAGAATGCAAATTTTCATCGACTGAGATGGTTGGGCCACGTGTTACGTATGCCCGAACAACGATTACCACGACGTGCAATGTTAACCGGTGTTCGGGATGGTTGGAAGAAAATTAGGGGTGGCAAAACCAAAACGTGGCATTAGTCAGTGAAGTCACTAATTTCTAGTCTGAGCCATGTTGGTAGATGCAGACTACTTAGTTTGAGTCCGCGTGACTATCGTAACCAATGGTTGGAGACTCTGGGTGACATGGCTCACAATCGATCACAATGGCGTCGGTGTATACACTCTCTTTATTCCCTTAAACTAAGAGATTAAAATCGCCTCATAACTTTCTTTCTACCAACTAATTATTTCTTCCTGTACTATATCCTTATATAAGATCTTTGTTTTATATATTACCACCGCTGAATTAACTATTTCTATGAATTCAGTGTTCATCTTGTTTGTGCTAATGACGTAATTGTATCTCAGTGGTCTATACTAACCTAGTTAACAATAATAATAATAATAATAATTGCTGTTATTTTTAA